TAATTAAAATTTATCTTTTTACAATTAATATTTTGAATATCTAATTAAAAATTAATTACGTATATCATTCTTTAAATTTTAAATTTCATAAAAATTAATTTGTAATTAGATTATTAAAATATAAACTGTAAAAAATATTTTTTATTTATATTATTAAAGTATTAAATATTAAATAAATTTTTAATTACATTATTAAAATATTAATTGTAAAACCAATAATTTTTAATTATATTATTAAAATATTAATCTAACTAAAGATTAAAAGGATTATATACGTAATTTTTAACTTGTAACTAATTATAGAATATTATAAATTATAAATATTATTTTCGAGGAAAACATATCAATATCCAAGTTAAAAGGTATAAATCAATGCGTATGACATAAATAAATATTCTTGTAAAATTAACATTATATATTGTCCTAGTGGTAAGGTGTTATGCCTTAATCTACAAGTAGGGGCGTAAATGAACCGAGCTTGAACGAATAAAATTGTGTTCGTGTTAATTTGTTTATTTTTAAAGGTGTTTATATTCGGTTTGTGTTTATTTAATTTTTTTAATATCATGTTCGTGTTCGTTTATTCATTTTTGAAGGTGTTCATGTTTGTTCATTTAACGTTCACGTATGTGTTCGTTAAACGTTTGTTGTAACACCCCTAACCCGTAACTGACCCAAATACGAGTCCGAGATGTCACATTTTCTTTTCAAATCATTGACTATTAAAAGTAGGAGAAAATTTGAACTATTATTCGTATTAAAATGGTGGAACTCTTGAATTAAAGTAAATAATAAAACTTACATTCATATTTAAATAAACCCTTAATTATTTACATAAATACAAAAAACTATAAGTTTACAAAATAGATCAGAGAATTTCAATTTAAACTTGTAGTACATGCCAACAGTTTACAAAATAACAAGAAACCTACATTTAAATTGTTTTGGTATGATATTCGGGGGAGTATGCTATCCTCGACTAGCTTTAACATTATGTTTTCTTTAAACCTACATGTGAAACAATCACACGCTAAGTCGTTAACTTAGTGAGGCAAGTACGAGCTAAATAAAACTTTGAAAACGAAATCTTTATTTATTTCATAGAAACATTTCTTAAGGGATTCAAATTGCTTTTCATAACAAGAATGTATATTTTTATACAATGTTCGATTTATATAACTTTGTTTTCAAATGCCCAATGTATAATATTGAGAATTCTAGATATTTGAGTACATTGAGGTTGTGCACTAATGTTGTTACCACAACTCACATAATTTGCACCGAAGTGCTAAATATTCCCCCCCCCCAAATGATCACATAGTTTTGTCCCGAAAGACCACATATAACCCTCAACTCTTGGCATGCCAACTATACCTCTAGTCCTCATACATATACCTTGGGCTTTTAACTACATAATTATTTATCATTTCATTATTCAAAGTGTATATTGTTCACATAGGCACTTTCACATCGGGTATTTTTATATACACTTATTCACATATCACAGTTTTATAATCATGTACACATAAACATCAAAACATAGCTTAAGTAATATAACTTGAATAAAACATTATAAAATATAACATAAAAGGAATTGAATGGTCTCCGATCGAAAACTTTGAGGTTGGCTTATCGCAAGTCGCCCTCGAATCTAATATAAAACAAATGAGTTGCACTCACATTTGCCTCACTGAATTCCCAAACAAAATCTTTATCACTTTTGATCAATAATCTATAACATCGAGTCGTCCGGAATTTGTCTTTGTTCGATGTCTACACAAGTACAATCAAAATGAATATCACAGTTAATATTACTTATAACCAATCATTAATAACTTAAGATGAAAGAAGCATCTAATTCATCATTTTAGGCGCACTAATACGATACCTCTCCTATAGTACCGATACTTCCCTTCTATGGTATCGCCTTGAAGTATCAGTATTGTTCTTCCAGTACTGATACCCTTACCCTGAATTTACCATTTTAATTTCGAAAATTAACCAAAACTTACCCAAATATCCTACTTTTATCTCTTTTATGCCTTTAAACTCAACTTCATTAATCAAAACCAACTTATCTCAATTTAATACTTCTAAATATCCAAAATCTCATTATAACACTTGAATCTCAAAATCACACCATTTTTGCTAACAAGTTCTTAATCATTTATAATCCTTCTAACTCATTAATTAGACCCTTGACAGGTCAAATTTATCAATAGAAATCCAAAAACTAAACCATATCAACAATTCCCTTAAAAACTCATTATATATATTCGTCATTATTTAACAATTCCCTTAAAAACTCATTATATATATTCGTCATTATTTCACTCATCTTTTAGTTTTACTCCACCTAAAGCTTCCCTTAAGCTTATACACCACCCAAGTCTTCACAAGCAAACCGAAATTTGAACAAACAAACAACTTGAAATCACTTACCATAGAAATGGAGCTCACGGGAAGAGAATATAACAAAGGGGTTCCAGATTTTTCTTTCCTCCTTTACCACACGTGATATATATGCCTTTAAAAAGGAATATAATATTATTTTCATTCAAAAAGACCATAATGCCCCTCCAATATATCATATTTGATAACAATTCCTAATCAAAATTTCCAAAATTAGACCTTGAATTATTCAATTATTCTACTTAAACCATTAAATTTTAATTCCTTATATTTTGGTCACTGACCAAATGTTTGGGGTGTTACATTTGTGAACATGTTTGTTTATCACTCGTTTAATGTTTAGGTTCATTTAAAGTTCGCGAACATATTCGTTTAGCATTCGTATAACATTCGCGAACATATTCGTTTATATATGTTCATAAATGTTACCAAACAAACAGAATAAAAAATAAAACAAAATCACCACCTGGTGCATAAATTCAATTGCAAGATAAAATTAAATTATACAAACAAGAGTAGTTTTAGGTTCACACGACACATATGTTTTACTGAAGAGACAAAATATGTAAATATTTGAAATTACAATAGAAACAAAAATACTTGGGATAAAAAGCACAAATGCATAATCAAAACAATATTTATGGATTTAATAATGAAACACAAGCATGTAAAGAGTTTACATTATAAAATGGAATATGGTTTGTGCAATATTCCCCCCCCCCCCAAATGGAATTAGAGCAAATTGATAATTCATAATAAGAATGAAATTTCTCATCTATATTAAATTTATACAACTTTCCAATATTAATTAGTTCATATTATCAATCACGTGAATTTACATTATAAAATTCGTTTTCTAGATTACATTAGGGGTTCTGCGACTTTAGTGAGATTAGAAATAAATCTTATAGAAAGAGATTATAAACAAATTTTATAAGAATAAAGTGAATCTGAGGGATTATAATACCTTTTCAATTTTCTAAGAAGAAAGTGAAGGAGAATGAGTTGCAGAAGTCAAAGAGACAGCCGATGAAATAAGCTGAAATTCTAATAACAAGATTTTATCAAAAGAAAAAGAGAAAAAGGAGATAAGCATGAATCTAACAATGAAATCTTATCTGATTATTACCACAAGGAGAAACATTAATGAAACAAAGGGAAATCTTACAAACCCAATAATGAAAACTCCTGTAAATAGATTAACGGAAGTTTATGATTTGATAAATCTTAACACATGATAGTTTAGGTGTTGATAAATATCGTAAAAAAAGAGAGGAAAGGAAGCTCGAAATAGATGAACGGCTGGAAAAGAAAAAGAGAGGATAAGGAAAAGGGTTTTTGTGTTACAATTAGGGAAATTTGGTAAATTATACAATTGGTGATTAAACTTCTTAAGATTCATAGTTTAAACTCCAAATTTTACCATGTATTTAATTTAGTATGTATATTTACTAATATTTAAAATGTAAAAAATTAAACGAGCTTGTTTATGAACATATAATACGAGCTTTTTCATGAACCTATAAACGAGCTTGTTCGTGAACATAAACGAACCAAACACACCTCTGTTCTTGTTTGTTCGTTTATTAAACGAATATAAAAAATTTGTTCATACTCATTTATTTAGTTTAATAAACAAAAATAAATAAACGTTATACGAACAGTTCATGAACGGTTCACCGAACGTTCTATTCATTTACACCCTTATCTACAAGACTCACGTTCAAGACTTAGTAATTTACAAATTTTGATTTACTCCCTTTTATTCTTAAATCAATCATATGATGACATTTGTTATCATTTGATCTGTTCTAATTAATATGTTTAAAAATAATCATACGAAATAAATTTAAGTTTACAAATGTTGATGTGGTAAGATGATGTGGCATGTTGCTGATGTGTCAAAATGATATGCTATCATGTGTATAAATATTTGTTGACGTGATATTTTTGGATAACGTGTTATGTTGTTATAGATGTGTTACGTCAGTATTTTGTGCACTTGTACATGCAACCAGCTTCATTTATTGACCGTTTGTTGACTAGCGATTTCTATTAATGCAAGAATTTTTTTTGTCTCAAAATGAAACGTTAAGGGACAAAATGACCATATAATCAAACATTAGATATTATTTTTGTCATTATACCTAAAAAAAGTAAAAAAAAATATATTTATTGATATTAAATATAAAATTTAAATTTGAAAATTTATTTATTTATTCTTTGACATGTAAAAAAGAGAGAAGGTTTTCATGCATATTTTCCTGTCAAGTTGATTTGAGCCTATTGCTTTTTTTAATTAATATGAGGTAATTACAAAGTAGTATTATTCAAGGATAATTCTTAACTATTTTACATTTAATATTTTTATCGCTAACATTTATGATGTTCGAATTCAAGACCTCAAAATAGCACAACAATATCTTTTATATATGTGGATTGGTTCGTGTCTAAATTTGACTCATTGTTGTTAAAAAAAGGTTAGGGCTCAACCAGGCCCAACATCAACTAAACCGACTTAAAAGTTAAAGTACCCACAACGGTTATAAATTGATCTTGATGCATTTATAAATAGATTCGTTGCTCTGCGTTACTTGATAGACACGGGTATCACATTATATTACTTCCTCTTTCCCGCCTCAATCCCGAAGAGTCGAGGGCAAGTCTCTTTGTACGATCTCTTTTCAGAGCTTCAAATTTATTGTTTCTTGCGAATTGTGATTGGTGATCGCTAAACCCCAGTATACAACCATGAGTAATTCTAGGGTTTTCTCCGGTGGTGCTCAAAGATCTGGGTCGGATACTATTAGAAGGACAAGGTTGGAGAACTTTATGTGCCATAGTAGTCTTGAAATCGAACTCGGCGAGTGGGTTAATTTCATTACCGGTTAAAACGGAAGTACATATCTCATCTCTCTCTCTATATATATAAATTGTGTATTTGATTCATGTTAATAAATTTCTTGGAATATGATACGAGCGACATGTTTGTTTTTTGGTTTTTTTTTTGTGTCCTTAGGAGGGAAGAACGCGATACTGACTGATTTATGTAAAGCGTTCGGCAGCAGCGGTAGAGAAACTCAAAGCGCTTCGAAGTTGAAGGGATTTATAAAACTGTCTGCAGGTTTCTTCTTCTTCTTCTTCTTCTTCTTCTTTTGCTTTTAATTGTTTGGCTTAGTGACGGGTAATCTGTTTGATATATCTGATATATATATTAATTCTCAATTATGCGACTGTTCAAGTGGATATTAAAAATGAAGGAGTTGATTCTTTTAAGCCAGATATTTTCGGCGATACCATTATTATAGAACGCATGATTACCGATTCTACGAGCTCCACTATTTTGAAAGATTGTCAAGGATTGAATCATTTTCTTCCGAATTTTCTTTAATGTCAAATGTTCTGTATGTGTTGTACTAATTATGTGTCATGAGTTTCTTTTGATTGCAGATTGTAGTGCTAAAGTAGTTAAGGTATTTACTCTATCTTGTCTTAAATCTGAGGCATTTGACAGGTAGAAAAGTTGCCAGCCAGAAAGAGGACCTCCGTGAGCTGGTTGAACATTTCAATGCGAGTGTTTGGCCTAAGAATTAAGCATGCTTTAAGTTTCTTAATTGCAGCATTTTGTTGTTTTCTTGTTGGTACATGATCTGTCATCCTGTACTTAATACAATACTTCATTTTTTTTTTTCTGAATTAGGTGTATATAACACTTGTTTTTTTTTGACCCAGTTTTAAAAACAAATCATTTTATTATATGTTGGTGCAACTATCATTCTGTTTTATTTTTAAACTAGTGATCTTCTTCACACTGAATCTGATAGTTCGAAGTTTTTTGTAATTTTCTATTTAGTTCCCACTCGTATGTAACTTTCTTTTTAATTTTCTCAGTGAAGTTTGTGTACCCCGTGTAGAGTGTCCATATCTACATTGTGATATCAAACTTGTGATCATTTCCTTGATCTTATTCTATCCAAGTTGTTAGTTGTGTACTCTTCCTTTGTCTTTCTCTTCGTTCTACATGAGATGTTGATACCTAATCATTATGCTAGTTCTATTTTTTCTTTCTTTATATGTCCCCTCGAACTTTCCTTTATCTTCTCTTATAAACCAGTTTTTCTAATTCGTGGCTGTTTGGATAAAAGTAATCACTTACAAAGAAGTCATTATGTGTTTTGCAGTAGTGTAATCAGTTTTCTAACTGTACTCACTCATTTCCTAGTCACACCTTTTATAATTTCTTCTTTTTGATCTAAGATGTGACATAATAAAGTCATACATTTCAGGTGGGTTTGGAATTGACCTGATGACAATATTTGATTGTGCATAACACCATACTGTGACAATATTTGATGGGTTTTTTCTTCTAAGAGTCTTCTCCATGTTTAACAATTATTGAGAACCATTTTTCTTTGATTTTACACTTGCATTCAAAACTATATTTTCTTGTGTGCTTAATTACACACATATTTGAAAATTTGCATTCTACGTACTGTAGATTGATGTTGAGAATCATACACAGGTCTCCTTGAGGTTCTAAACCTTGAGGTCGTGGGATCAAGTCCCACGGAGGGCATTTCATAATTTGGAGGTCTCCTACGGAAGCTGCTCTCAACCTGGTGTTGGGGGCAGCCTACTATCTTACCTCCCCCTTACCCCATACATATGGGAAAAAAGGGACAGCCAATCATACACAGGTCTTTCATGGTTTTTTCTTCAACTTGACTTGTTAGTATTTACTTTTTGACTGCTGATGAGGTACAATTCATTTTGAAATAACATTTATGTTAAATTATGATTTTTCTTACATAATATTCATGTATTGTTTGCATGTTTTAATTTGATATTCTGTGAAGAATAACTGTATTCTGAGTTCAATTAGAAATATAGCTATTTTTATGCATGAAAGAACATAGAAAAATAGGATCTTACACTCTATTTCATGTTAACCTTTTTCATTTGTAGCAATATAATTTTTTTTTGTGATTAATGCTTTCCAAACTTCTGTTCTTATATTTAACAATTGCAAGTATGAAAGATGTTTTTTTTAGAAACTTTGCCTTTTGAATTTACATTCAATTTTTTGTTTGTTTGCTTGTTTTTAATTACTGAATTTTCATCTCTTGTTCATCATAAGCAAGAAATGAAAAGCTTGAGCTTGAAGAAGAGCATCGCCGTGGCAATCAACAAATCCACAAGATGTTGAATGATGTTAGGATGCATGAAGAACAAGTTCATGATATTCAGGAGAATCATACACAGGTCTTTCATGGTTTTTTCTTCAACGTGACTTGTCAGTATTTACTTTTTGGCTGCTGATGAGGTACAATTCATTTTGAAATAACATTTATGTTAAATAATGATTTTTATTACATAATATTCATGTATTTTGTGCATGTTTTAATTTGATATTCTGTGAAGAATAACTGTATTCCGAGTTCAATTAGAAATATAGCTATTTTATGCATGAAAGAACATAGAAAATAAGATCTTACACTATTTCATGTTAACCTTTTTCATTGGTAGCAATATAATTTTTTTTTTTGTGATTAATGCTTTCCAAACTTCTGTTCTTATATTTAACAATTGCAAGTATGAAAGATGTTTTGTTTTAGAAACATTGCCTTTTGAATTTACGTTCAAGTTTTGTTTGTTTGCTTGTTTTTAATTACTAAATTTTCATCTCTTGTTCATCATAAGCAAGAAATGAAAAGCTTGAGCTTGAAGAAGAGCATCGCTGTGGCACTCAGCAAATACACAAGATGTTGAATGATGTTAGGATGCATGAAGAACAAGTTCATGATATTCAGGAGAATCATACACAGGTCTTTCATGGTTTTTTCTTCAACGTGACTTGTTAGTATTTATTTTTTGACTGCTGATGAGGTACAATTCATTTTGAAATAACATTTATGTTAAATAATGATTTTTCTTATATAATATTCATGTTTTTTGTGCATGTTTTAATTTGATATTTTGTGAAGAATAACTGTATTCTGAGTTCAATTAGAAATATAGCTATTTTTATGCATGAAAGAACATAGAAAAATAAGATCTTACACTCTATTTCATGTTAACCTTTTTCACTGGTAGCAATATTTTTTTTTGTGATTAATGCTTTCCAAACTTCTGTTCTTATATTTAACAATTGCAAGTATGAAAGATGTTTTGGTTTAGAAACTTTGCCTTTTGATGTACTAATTTAAAGAACTGTTAAACTAGGATCGTCCTTGGTGTATTTTAGACTAACTTTCTCCATCCAACTGAAAATAGCTCTACCATGTTGCTTCTCTTTTGTTTAGATCCTTATTTTTTTATTATTCCTTATCTAGTTGTTAGACAACTAGTTTAATCTGTTAATATAAAATGATAGGTGAATGTCTTGTTTAATTCTAGTATACTTTAGAGGAAGATAGGATTCTTTTTTTTCTTTTGTTGCTCTGCAAGCTGAGGAATCAGAAATAGAGGAACAAATAAAAATACTTGAATATGTTGTTGATAGTGTCAATGCAATGCTCACTAAGTTATTCACTTTTTCATTATCCCCTGTTACCACTTAGTTATTCTAGATCTATTTGACCGTTAAAATATTTTACCTTTCAGTTTGAAGGATAAGGAAAACACTTTATCAGAACATCTCTCAGTAGAAATGGATGCAATGAAGAAGATTAATGAAGATGTATGAGAAAGTTTACAGATTAATAAATTTATATGAATTTGAATTTGCTTTTCCATTTTGACTCTTTGGTACTGAATTATGATTTTTATAATACAAACGCGCATATGATATTAATGACTGCATATGAATACTGTTCAACTATGTATTTATGTATTTATTTATACATGCATTGCATTTTATCTATATTTTTAATTTCCTGACTGCCGGAGGTCTTCCAAGGAAGCTACTCTCAACCTGGCGTTGGAGGCAGCCTACTACCCTACCTCCCTCTTACCCCATTGCATATGGGAATTGGGTTTTGTTGTTGTTGTTGTTGTTGATAACCTTCTATGTTGTCTTTAGTTGGTATTTGGTAAACATTTAGAAGATAAATGGTCATGGAAAATGAAAGGGCCTGGTTCCTTCTTCAAGTTGAGTTCTGACTGCAGTCATCTTTCTTTTTTTTAAAAAAAAACTTTTTTACTTGTTTATTTTGTGTGGTGAGGATTTAGTTTAGATGGTAAAGGTTTTAGGGGATAAGTGACAATGGAAAATGAAAAGGTACAACATTATAACATGCCAAGCAAAGATTACCAAACATTCTCAAGTTAATTATTGGTTCAAACTCTATATTCGAGCACTTCTGACTGCTGTTAATTTTCCTTTTAAATCCTTTTTTACATGTTCAATTTGTGTGAAGAGGAGTTGGCTTAGATGTGGTAATTTCACGTTTTCATCATGAATTTTTAACTAAATCCTGCAATTAGGAAATTTATTTTTTAACAACCTTCTCTGCCTATTTCTTTTATTATAATCCAATGCAGTGGTTACTGGTTGGTTAGTTTAGCTGAGTCAATGAGCTTCATCCATGAATCTTTTTCATGCTTGCTCTTAAGAAGCAATTGTAGCGGGCTTATGTGTAGCACTAACATTTTTTGTATTCTCAGGGTAGAGCTGAAAGGCAAGTTCTTGTTGAAGATTACAACAGGGGAAGGGTATTGCATTTGATCGAAGAATACAGAATGTGTTGGTGATTTTCACCTTAGATGAGTTTGAAATGTAAGTCGATAACTAATTTCATTTGTTGTTTCATGTCTCATCCTTTTTAAAGAAGTTACTTGGTATGTGCATTATTGTCTTTGTAGGGACCAATTTTTAAGGGAGTGAGAATTGAATTTGGTTTGAAATGTAAGTTGAGAACTAATTTCATATGTTTGTGCTCGTGGGTGTACTAATTACCAACAAGAATTACCTTCATCTTCACAAAGCATATCTTTTAATCTTTCTCTTTGTTGTCTGTATCTATCGCCTGGAAACTTGAATTCAGAAATTGAAGTTTCTGTTTCAGAATAGGGTCCATTACGAAAATGTCATGAAAGAAAAGGTTCTTCCTCAAATCAAGGTTGATATTTATGCCTTCTTAGATTTAGTAACCAATTGTAGCCCATGTTATATTTTGCAAAATTGCAGGAGAGCTACAGAAAGGCTTCTGTCATTTGTTTTGAGAGTGAAATTGATGCATAGAAGACTTGGATGGAAGTACAACCGAGCAACTAGATGCCAAACTTAAGAGACTGGATCAAAGACTTATGCATGAGGACAATCGGTATGGGGTGGTTAATTTCCGATGTTTCACTTTGAAAATACCCCAATATCTGCTAGCAGTTGAATTCCATGTTAACTTTTGATTTTCTGCAGATATTCAGAATCAATTGGTGATCTTAGGATGTTGTATCCGGAGAAAGAGCGTAGAATTTTAAGAAAACTGCATACTTATAAAGCCTTTCGAGAAAGATTAGATGTAAGTTCCACTGTTGTTCAATTTTCCCTGAATTTGACAATTTGTCTCAATGAGGTGGCTAACCTTGTTCCAACTGGGTTTTGAGAAAGGACCGTGAAAGAGATTAAGGTCAAGAAAGACCTTAATAGAGTCATATATATATTTTTTGTAATCTCGTCTAATCTTTTCTAATATTTGGAATTATGGATTGTGATGTGAACCTTTTTCTGATTGTTTTGTAGGTTATATGGCATTTTGCTTCATCATAATGTCATTTCTCCTAATTTTGAATTCTGAAAGAAATGATTGGCGGCTTACCTCAAGGCTTTTTTAAGGTTTCTGGAAGTTTATTAGCTTTTTCCTTTTTCTGCTTCGGTTGTTATATTGCAGGCTTGCCAATATCCTCTTGATTTGCATAGGAAAAAATTTCAACATGATGCAGCGCTTCTAAGATGCGAGTTGACTTGGCAAATATGTATCATGCTTCTGTCAATCATTAATTGTCTTTCATTATGATTATTTATTTATTTATTATTTCTTGTTTGGTACAATTAGATTTAATGGCCATTTTGGGAAGGAAAGTGTCAACGGACACATTAATGTTAATTATGATGAAAAGACCCTACATTAATGTTAATTATGATGAAACTATATAAATTCTACTTGTGCTTTTGGGCGTACTTACAATTCGCTACTAATGCATTTCGCCTGGTCAGTGGTCACTCTGCCCTTTTAAAGTCCTAAGCTGTCTATTCAACATTTAACAATGGGTTTCCTGATTCCATTAGGTTTAACAGGTTAAAATGCCTCAAGATGCATCAAGCAACACTGTTCGTGATACAAAAGGACTTTCAGGTTTTTAAATTTCCCGTCCCATATGCTATTTCGAATTTGTATGGACAGTAGTTTTGAAATATGTAAATTGACTTTGTTGTTGTTTTTCTTTGCAGAGTAAGTTTTTGTAATTCCAGGATTTATCTCTCTTAGCTTATAGAAATAATTTTGTCTGGAAGATCTTCACATCACCGATCCATTTTCCCTTTTATAGATTAAGTACCATGAAACAAAGCAGGGTGAGATTGATCATCAAATTCGTGAGCTTTCGTCTGCATCAAGCCAACAGGGTCTCGACAACTCTTATTATTTATTTATTTGTTTTACTTGAAAGAAATGATGATGATGTGTTTTTTTGTTCCCCTAAACCTTTTAAGGTCACCTTTGAACTTGATTTTCTTTTCTTGGACAGGTTACAGCTTTTGGTGGTGATGGAGAGTGCTATGTCTTCGATGTGAAATTAAGAGGCATCACTGTGCATTTACCGTGCCTCCTATTGGTCTAATTGGTGCTCATGTGGTGAGTGATGGAAAATTGCTATAGAAAATTTTGACTACACTTCTTATGCCTACGAACTAAAGAACTAAATCTTAATTTGTTAATATAAGATCGGCTTGTTCATTTGGTGTTGGCTACAGAATGCTGAATGCTTTTCAGATTTTCCTTTCACAGGATTTCTCTGTTAATGGTATAGGCTATTTAGAGACTTTTATAGTGAAAGAACATTTGCTCGCAGGAGTTGTATATCTCTTTTGATTCTAGAGGCTTTTTCCTATGAAAGTTTCTCAATTTTTAGTTTTTTTCTATAGGTACAACCATAGGTATCATTGTTTCCATATTAAGTAATTGTTGACGTCTGGCATTTGTTGTTAGTTTTGTGGTTATTGTGCTGCAGACATTAGTCAATGGTGATACATGGCTTCTGCTGTTGAACAAGCTATTGGGAAGATGCCAAATACATTCATTGTGACATTATTATAGAATGCATGATTATTGACTCTACGAGCTCCACTGTTTTGAAAGATTGTCAAGGTTTGAATCATTTTCTTCCGAATTTGCTTTAATGTCCAATGTTCTGTATGTGTTGTACTAATTATGTGTCATGAGTTTCTTTTGATTGGTGATTTGGTTGCAGATTGTTGTGCTAAAGTGGTTATGATATTTGCTCTATATTGTCTTACATCTGAGGCATTTGACAGGTAGAAAAATTGCCAGCCAGAAGGAGGACCTCCGTGAGCTGTTTGAACATTTCAATGTGAGTGTTTGGCCTGAGAATTAAGTATCCTTTAAGTTTCTTAATTGCAGCATTTTGTTGTTTTCTTGTTGGTACATGATCTGTCATCATGTACTTAATATAATACTTCATTATTTTTCTGAATTAGGTGTATATAACACTTGCTTTTTTTCCCCAGTTTTAAAAATAAATCATTTTATTATATGTATGTGTTGTACTAATTATGTGTCATGAGTTTCTTTTGATTGGTGATTTGGTTGCAGATTGCCGTGCTAAAGTGGTTATGGAATTTGCTCTATATCGTCATATATCTGAGGCATTTGACAGGTAGAAAAATTGCCAGCCAGAAGGAGGACCTCCGTGAGATGGTTGAACATTTCAATGTGAGTGTTTGGCCTGAGAATTAAGTATGCTTTAAGTTTCTTAATTGCAGCATTTTGTTGTTTTCTTGTTGGTACATGATCTGTCATCATGTACTTAATATAATACTTCATTATTTTTTCTGAATTATGTGTATATAACACTTGCTTTTTCCCCCAGTTTTAAAAATAAATCATTTTATTATATGTTGGTGCAGCTTTCATTCTGTTTTATTTTTAAACTAGTGATCTTCTTCACATTTAATCTGATAGTTCGAAGTTTTTTGTAATTTTCTCTTTAGTTCCCGCTCGTATGTAACTTTCTTTTTAATTTTCTCAGTGAAGTTTGTATACCTTGTGTAGAGTGTCTATAAATACATTGTGATATCAACTTGTGATCATTGCCTTGATCTCATTCTACCCAAGTTGTTTACTCTTCCTTTGCCTTTTCTTCGTTCTACATGAGATGCTGATACCTAATCATTATGCTAGTTCTATTTTTTTCTTTCTTTGTATGTCCCCTCTAACTTTCTTTCATCTTCTATTATACTACAGTTTTTCTAATTCGTGGCTGTTTGGATAAAAGTAAGTCACTTACAAAGAAGTCATCATGTGTATTGCAGTAGTGTAATCAGTTTTCTAACTGTAGTTGCACATTTCTTAATCACACCTTTTATAATTTCTTGTTTTTGATCTAAGATGTGACATAATAAAGTCGTACATTTCAGGTGGGTTTGTAATTGACCTGATGGCAATATTTGATGGTGCAGAACACCGTACTGTGACAATATTTGATGGGTTTTTTCTTCCAAGAGTCTTCTCTATGTTTAACAGTTATTGAGAACTATTTTGCTTTGATTTTACACTTGCATGCAAAACTATACTTTCTTGTGTGCTTTGATTTTACAGGTTCAATTTGTGTGAAGAGGAGTTGGTTTAGATGTTAAAAGGTTTTAGAGGATAAGTGATCATGGGAAATAAAAGTCCAGCTTTATAACATTCCAAGATTATGGGACATTCTCAGGTTAAATCAATATTAAAGATACTCTTCCGTCTTTGATTACTTCTTAATGAAGTAGTGTTTTTTTATAAAAAACAAACAAACAATTTTTTTTGCATGTGAAATTTGTGTGGAGAATAGTTTTGACATATGTAAATTGACTTTATTTCTATTTTTCTTTGCAGATTATGTTCTTGTAATTTCAGGATTTATTTCCTTTAGCTTATAGAAACAATTTCATCTTGAAGACCTTCACATCACTGATCCATTTTCCCTTCTATAGATCAAGTACCATGAAACAAAGCAGCGTGAGATTGATCATCAAATTCGTGAGCTTCGTCTACATCAAGCCAACAGGGTTTGGGCAACTCTTGTTTTATTTATTTATTTGTTTTACATGAAAGAAATGAGGATGTTGTGCTTTTTTATTCGCCTAAACATTTTAAGGACAACTTTGAACTTGATTTTCTTTTCTTGGACTGGTTACAGCTTTTGGTAGGGGTGGAGTGCTACATCTTCTACGTGAAATTGAGAGGCATCCGACTGCGTTTACCGTACCACCTATAGGTCCAATTGGTGCTCATGTGGTGAGTGCTGGAAAATTGTTACATAAAATTTTGAGCACACATCTTACGACTCGGAACTAAACAACTAAATCTTTATTTGGTAATAAAGATTGGCTTGTTCATTTGGTGTTGGCTGCAGAATGTTGAATGCTTTTCAGATTTTCCTTTCTCTAGATCTCTCTGTTAATGGTATAGGCAATTTAGGGATTTTATAGTATAAGAACATTTGCTTGCACGAGTTGTGTTGAAGCTTCTTTTTTATTCCGGAAAAATCACTTAATTTTTTTTAGTCTGCTCATAAATCTCTTTTGATTCTAGAGGCTTTTTCTTATGAAATTTTCTCCATTTTTAGTTTTTTCTATAATTACAACCATAGGTATCACTGTTTCCATATTAAGTAATTCTTGATGACTTTCTGGCAATTGTTGCAGTTTTGTGGTTATTATGCTCTGCATACACTAGTCAATGGTGATACATGGGTTCCTACTGTTGACCAAGCTATTGGGAAGTTGCTAAATGCATTCATTGTGAAAATTCTCAGGATGCTGGCGCTCTTAGAAAATGCGAAAAGGAGGCAAGATATAATTACTTTCTGATTGTTATACATAGGTTTTCGAGAACAAGGTGAAAGGAGGAGAATTATAATTTTCTTAAAAAGCCTCCTTTCATGGTATTGATGTTTCAGTACAGTTTCCTTGATATTTGGTTCTGCTTTCTTTGTACGTTAATTATACCTGACCATTCACTCCCCCAGACTAACCACCCAACTACTGAATCTCTTTTACATTCTGATAATCCAAGTGTTTTCAATGTTTTGGTAGATGTGGTAATTTCATGTTTTCATCATGAATTTATAATCTAAATCCTGCAATTAGGAAATTTATTTTTTAATGACCATCTCCACCTATTTCTTTTCTTTTATAAATTTCTTTTATTATAATCCAACGCAGTAGCTACTGGTTGGTTACTTTAGCAGGAGGCTATAAGCTTGGTCCATGAATCTTTTTCATGCTTGCTCTTAATAAGCTGCGGCTTATGTGTAGCACTAACATTTTTTGTATTCTCAGGGTAGAGCTGAGAAGCAAGTTCTTGTCGAAGATTAAAACAAGGGCTGTTGCATTTGATAGAAGAATACAAAACATGTTGGAAGTTTTCACCTTAGATGGGTTTAAAATGTAAGTCGAGAACTAATTTCATATGTTGTTTTATATCTCATCCTTTTTTTTAAAAAAAAATTACTTTGTGCATTATTGTCTTTGTAGGGACCAATTTTTAGGGGAGTGAGAATTGGATTTGGTTTGTAAATCTAATTACATCGTTTAGATGGATTTCAAGTTGTACTAGTTCCGAAAGGTACAAATCTAAGATCTCTAACCTTTTATTATAATTTTTATTTTGCTTTTTTATGTTTGTGCTTGTCATATTCTGCCTGAAGAATTTTGTTCACTTCTCAAACCTAAGATTGTTCTCATCTTTGAATTCAATATAAATGTAATCGTAAAAATTGAATTGAAGAATTTACGATCATTTGATTACTTAAAATTCCATGTTATTGGGATGGGATTTAACTGCCATCTCATTTGCCCAACTATTCTATCCAGATGTTGTTATGCTAAAGCATGTTTATAACAAATGGTTATAGGAATGATCAAGTACTGGTTTGATTATTGAAAGTGACATAGCAATGGAATAGTTACATGATATTGTAATTTGGATGCTGTTTTTGCTTGTTCTCTTCCCCACCTGCTAAACATGGATTTTCATTTGCTTGGGTGTTCTATTGTTCTCAGGTTTTCAAGCAGTTCAGATTGTAATGAAAAACCTTAGAATTGGTCGTCTTTGATGTTATTCCACATCCATTAAGTTTTCGGTTTTCTTTGGTTTTATATTCATGTTGGTATGTTCACTTATCATCAGTTGGTTTTAGGTTGGATGCTTAACATGGTATTAGAACTTAGGTGTGTTATGTTATTCTTGCCTAGTCTCATATAAGGTCAATTACGTGTAGGCCCTTGTTGAACTTAGTTACATGAAATAGGGAATGTTAAGAGATATTGTCTCACACCTATGAAGTATTTAGGTTTTTTTGGTCTTATATTCTAGTTCGGCTCCACTGCCCATTATCGATTGGTTTTAGGTTGGATGCATACATTTTTTCCTTCTGTTTAAAATTCTTTTTCAAGCTTAATACTAGTCTAAAAAGCGTATTTCCTTGCACATAATGTCTATCTTTAGAAGTGAAATTGCGCTACTGTCACTGGCTCTGTGTGCCTTATTTCCTTGCATAGGCTTGTGGGTGTAATAATTACCGATGGCAAGAATTCCCTTCATCTTCACAAAGCATATCTTTTAATCTTTCTCTTTGTTATATGTATCTCTTTTTGGGTTCATATATATATATATATATATATATGCTAGGACGACCTATGATCCATACTTGTGTTTTGCAGAAAAATCGTTTGGATGTGGAGCGTGATTCCATGGTTAAGAGAATGAGACTAGAGGATGTGCAGAAGTCACATTCTGTTGATGCTAGTGTGTTGCCTGAGTCAATGGTGATACATGGGCTCCTGCTGTTGAAGAAGCTATTGGGAAGTTGGTAAATGTATTCATTGTGACAAATTCTCAAGATGCTAGCGCTCTTAGAAAATGTGCAAAGGAGACAAGATATAGTTAGTTACTTTCCGATTGTGATACATAGATTTTTGAGATCAAGGTGAAAGGATGAGAATTCTTATTTCCTTAAAAAGCATATTTTCATAGTACTGATGTTTCAGAACAGTTTCCTTGATATTTGGTTATGTTTTCTTTGTCAGTTGATTATACCAGATCATTCACTCCCCCGGATGAACCACCCAACTGCTCAATCTCTTTTACGTTCCGATAATCTTACTGTTCTCAGTGTTTTGGTAGATGTGGTAATTTTTTCCCTTTTGTTTAAAATTCTTTTTCAAATTTAATACTAGTCTAAAAGGTTTGTTTCCTTGCACATAATGTCTATCTTTAAAAGTAAAATTGTGCCATTGTCACTGACTCTGTGTGCCTTAATTCCTTGCAAAGGCACGTGGGTGTAATAATTACCGATGGCAAGAATTCCCTTCATTTTCCCTAAGCATATCTTTTAATCTTTCTCTTTGTTGTTTGTATTTCTTTTTGGGTTCATAGTTGCAGAAGCGGTTGACTTTATGCTCCATTAACTTTTTATTCATTTACTTCTACAACTATTGTGTGGAAACTTGAATTCAAAAATTGAAGCTTTTGTTTCAGAATAGGGTACAGTACAAAAATGTTATGAAATAAAAGGTTCTTCCTCAAATTAAGGAGGCAGAGGCAAAATATGTGAAACTAGAAAAGAATCGTAAAGTTGTATTTATGCCTTTCTAGATATACTAACCAATAATTTGAGTTGTCTTTATCATTTGTAGTTCATGTTATATTTTTGCAACATTGCATGAGAGCTATAGAAAGACTTTTGTCATTTGTCCTGAGAGTGATATTGATGCTTTAGAAACTTGGGTGGAAGTACAACCTAGCAACTAGATGCTAAACTGAAGTGACTAAATCAGAGACTTGTGCATGAGGGCAATCGGTATGGGGTGGTTAATTTTCGAAGTTTCACTTCGTAAATACCCCAATATCTGCTTGCAGTTGGATTCCATGTTAACTTTTGATTTTCTGCATATATTCAAAATCGATTGATGACTTTAGGATTTTGTATCTGGAGAAATAGCGTAGAATTTTAGGAAAATTGCATACTTGTAAAGCCTTTCGAGAAAGATTAGATACAAGTTCCATTGTTGTTCAATTTGCCATGAATTGGACATTTGGTCTCTATTATACAATGTGGTGGCTAACCTTGTTCCAACTGGGTTTTGAGAATGAGCCTTGAAAGAGAAAGGTCAAGAAAGACCTTAATAGAGTTTTGTAGGTTATGCGATAAGTCTTATTAGTTAGAAATTTAATATAATAGTAACACTTAGAAAGTTAAATAGATAAGGATAACTACTAGTTAAATAGACAAGGATAGCTTCTAGGTAGTTTATTTCTAATAGAAAACTTACTCCTAATTTTTCATATAAAAGCAAGATGTACTTTCACCTATCAATATACGTTTAAGACTTCTCTTTTCCACTATGTTGATTACTCTTTATCAACACGATATCAGTTAGGTGAGCGATCCTTCTCCTTAACCCTAATCGCCAATCATGACTTCCGCCTCTTCTTCATTGGATGTCACTTTGGAAATTCTCGTTAATTAGCCCAGTTCGAACCTCTCCGATGTTTCTTACACCTCTATCACCTATCACTAATTGAATGGTGACAATTATATCCCTTGGTCCCAATCAATCAACCTTTATATAACTGGTCGGCTCAAACATCTTATGGAGACCACACCAGTTCCTACTGTGACGGATCCTCAATATTCAACCTGGCTAAGTGAGAATACCATGATTATGTCATGGCTCATCAATTCCATGATTCCTTTCGTGGGGGAAAACTTTTTGCTATACTAAACAATGGTTGAAATTTGGAGTGCTGCAAAGGCGATGTATTTGAATCTGGAAAATTCAGCTGCCCTAGTTGGGTTTGAGTGCCAACTTGCCAATCTCAAACAAGACAACATAACCGTAACTCAATATTTTATTGTAATGTTGCGATTATGGCAGCAACTTGATTTGTTCAAATCCCATGAATTGAGGTGTAGAAGATGCCCGTCTATTCAAGAAGATTGTTGAACAACGTCGGATATTCCAGTTTTTGTCTGGTTTGCATCGGGATCTTGATGAAGTTCGGGGATGAGTGCTAGGACTCAAATCTCTTCCTTAAATCAGGGAAGTGTTTTCTAAAGTACGACGCGAAGAAAGTTGACGTACAGATATGCTTCCTGATTCGCAACCCGCTGAAGGATCTGCATTGCTCACTCACTCTCAGAGTACAACTCGACCAAAGACGGGGAGACCTTGGTGTGACTACTGTAAGAAGGTTGGCCATCTGCGGCATTCTTGTTGGAAGTTACATGGCAAGCCTACTGATGGGAAGTCTACAAAACAACATCAACGGTGTGATACTCAAGGAAATTGTATTGTGAATACTGGTTTACAAGTAAGTTTGTTTACTAAAAAACAAAAGGAAGAGTTGTAACAGTTTTTTAGTTAGTTAAATACTCATTCCCAATCCGTACCTGCAAGTATAATTCCTTATGATACTTTGGCTAATAAATCCGCCACTCCTACTTGTATTGTGGATTCTGGTGCAAGTAATCATATGTTAGATGATCTTTGGCTCTCTTTCTGGTGTTGCCAGTCATGGGTCTATTCGAATAATTCCGGACATTTTTTATCTCATGTTCTTTGTGTTCCCAATCTCACTTGCAATCTTATCTCCATTAGCAAGTTGTCTGTCAATTTATGTTGTACCATGAAATTTAACTATAATTTTTATGAATTTCAGGGTTCGAGCTCAGGGAAAGTGATTGGTAGTGATAGACTTTGTGGGGGTCTTTACCTACTTCCAGCAACTTTATTTTCCCAACCACCTTGTTTCTTTAATGTTATACAACAATTTCCTTTACTCGAACCTTCAACCGATGCTATGTTATTGCATTTTCTTTTAGTACATCCCAATTTCTTTTATCTTGCAAAGTTGTTTTCACATTTGTTTGTCAATAAAAGTCCTAAATATTTTTCTTGTGATATTTGCCCACTTGCTAAAAAAACTAAGATTGTTCTACCTTCTCCATATTATTCTACCTTCTCCATATAAACCGTCCAAACCATTTATCATGATCCATATTGATATTTGGGGACCATCCTAGGTCGCATACTTACATAAGTTTCAGTGGTTTATTTCATTTATTGATGATCACACTCGTACTACCTGGATCTTTCTCATAAAAACTAAATATGAAGCTTGTGAAATATTTAAACGGTTTCATAAGATAGTTGAAGCCCAATTTCAGTGTTCTATCCAATTGTTTCATTCTGACAATGGTATTGAGTGTTTTGCCAATGTTTTGGGTTCTTTCTTTCAGGAAACCGAGATTATTCATCTTACTTCGTGTGTCAATTTTCCTCAACAAAATGGGATTGCTGAGCGAAAAAACAGGAATCTTCTTGAGGTTACTCGATCACTTCTTTTTTCCACAAATGTTCTTTTTTGGGGGAAGCCCTTTTAATTGCCACTTATTTGATTAACCGTATCCCTAGTAAACCGTTACAATTTAAGTGTCCGAGAGATGTATTTCTACAATTTTCCCCCTAATTTTAAATCAATGACTTCATTGTTATCCCTTAGAGTTTTTGATTGTACTGTGTTCGTTTATAACAATGTTTCTTTCAGGTCCAAATTAGATCCTTGAGCATTTCGGTGTGTTTTTGGGTTATTCTTCGACTCAAAAGGACTTTCGGTGTTATTATCCTCGTACTAAGAAATTATTTATTACTATGGACGTTACTTTCTTTGAAAAAATACCGTTTTTCCTTAATACTTCTATTCAGGGAGTCATATAATGATTGTACTGTGTTCGTTTATAACAATGTTCCTTTCAGGTCCAAATTAGATCCTTTAGCAGTTCGGTTTGTTTCTAGGTTATTCTTCGACTCAAAAGGACTTTCGGTGTTATTATTCTTGTACTAAGAAATTCTTTATTAATATGGACGTTACTTTTTTTTGAATAAATACCTTTTTTTCCTTAAAACTTCTATTCAGGGGAGTCATATAATGAATATCAGTTTGTTGACTCATAACAATTGTCACTTGATTTGCAGCCAACTTCTTTTGACCAACCAACACTGTTGAACCAGTCGAATCAGCCTACAAAATCGCTCTAGCAAGACCAAACAACACTACCGAACCCAAAAAATTTATTCTTTCAAAACCAGCCCATCGAAACATACTTAACTCAGCATGATCAACAAATCACTTCGCGTCAAATATCTTAATCTGAATTGCTAATTTACAAGAGACAACAAAGATCAATTTCTAAATCAATCTCCAAACCTATTCCCGAGTCTCCCACATAGCATGGACACTGTTATGAACTAGAACCGAACGAAAATCCTTTGGAGACTGAAAGAGGTAATCAGAGTTCTTCCACTGAATTAAATAGTTTAATTGATGAGTGCTCAAAGGAAGAGTAAGAAAATTCAGAAATTATCCAATTAATAGATTTATTGCATATGGAAAGCTAACGCCTTGTTTTAAGAACTTTATAGCTAGTGTAAATAGCATTACTATTTCAGATACGAAGGAAGAAGCATTGAAAGATCCCAAGTGAAAAAGGCAGTAGAAGAGGAATTAAAGGTACTGAAAAATAATACTTCGATTATAGTTGATCTTACGAAAGATAAAAAAAACTAGTCGGCTGCAAATGGCCTTTCACGGTAAAATACAAAGCTGATGGTAGCATTGAAAGATACAAAGGCAAGATTAGTGGTGAAAGGATTTACTCAATCTTTTGGAGTTGATTATCAAGAAACGTTTGCTCCGGTAGCAAAACTAAACACTTTGAGAGTGTTACAAATTGGTATTCACGATAAAATACAAAGTTGATGGTAGCATTGAAAAATACAAGACGAGATTAGTGGCGGGAAAAGATTTACTCATCTTTTGGAGTTGATATCGAGAAAAGTTTGCTCCAGTAGTAAAACTAAAACACTGTGAAAGTGTTACATCATAGAAGTCAGTGAGAATGGGTGCTTCATCAGTTGGACATCAAAAATGCATTTTCAAACGGAAACTTGGAGGAGGAAGTATATGCAAATTCCAATTGGTATTCACGATAAAATACAAAGTTGATGGTAGCATTGAAAAATACAAGACGAGATTAGTGGCGAAAAGATTTACTCAATCTTTTGGAGTTGATTATCGAGAAAAGTTTGCTCCAGTAGTAAAACTAAACACTGTGAAAGTGTTACTATCATTAGAAGTCAGTGAGAATTGGGTGCTTCATCAGTTGGACATCAAAAATGCATTTTCAAACGGAAACTTGGAGGAGGAAGTATATATGCAAATTCCATCGGGTGTGAAGAGTAATACAGGAAAAGCGTGTAGATCACTAGAGTACTTGTATGGACTTAAGCAATCTCCAAGCGTCTGGTTTGATAGATTTACAAAGTTTTTTATTCAGGATGGTTATAAGCAATGTCAATCGAATCACACTTTATTTGTCAAACAACTTCAAGCAAAAAAAAATATTTTGATTGTCTATGTGGATGATATAATTCTAACAAGTGATGATTGTATGGAGATAGAAAAACTAGAAAATCTACTGGCAAAGGAGTTCGAAACCAAAGACTTGGGAATTTTACGGTATTTCTTAGGCATGGAGGTTTCAAGGTCAAAAGAAGGAATAATGATCAATCAAAGGAAATATATCCTTGATCTACTATTAGACATTGGCATGAAGGGATGTAAGCTGACAGAAACATCCATGGAAGCAAATCTTAAGCTAAGGAGAGAAGAATTGAGAAGTCTCGTGAACAAAGAACATTATCAAAGGACATGATATTGTGTTCCCTGTCAATTACTAGACCTGATATTGTGTTCCCTGTCAATGTAGTGAGTCAATATATGAATGATCCAAGAGAAGATTATTTAGAAGTTGTGAATAGAATTCTAAGATACTTGAAAATGACACAAGGACATGGGTTAAGTTTCAGAAAGAGTGATGATAGAACAATAAGATGTAACAGTAGGAGAAGGACGGGGAATCGAAGAAGAATTGGGGATGGAAAGGCAAGGGTTAAGGATTGAAAGAAGGATTTGGGGATTGAATCAGCCGACACGTGAAAGGCATGGAGAAAATTAACCTTCAGCTGACCCAGAAGCTGTGAGTCAGCCCAGACTTGGAAGCCCATTACCTGTTGAAGAGAAACATAATCAGTTAGCAAGGACAACCACCTGGCAATCTTAGATTCTCGGTACTATTGTAAACAAATAAAACCAGTACCCTGTATAAAATCAGCTATGCATATTTTGAATGAAAATCAAATTCTTCATCTCTTCTTCTCTTCTTCTCTTCTACCTACGTTTTCTCTCTCTCTATTCTATTGCAGGATATAACAATTGGTATCTAGAGCCATTTTTCCTGGCACTTATCGTTTGGTATGCCAAAGAAAAATCAAACCATGCCCGAAACACCCGATTTTACTGCACTACAAAAACAACTCGAGGATTTAACGACCTTGGTCAAACAATCTTAGGACGAAACTACCCCTCCTAAATGGTGGGAAAATCAGAAAACTTGTATTACCTTGTTGGAATCCAGATTGGCCATAAACAGGGTTATGTGGAGGAGCTTTTGAAGATTCTGATGGGCAGAAATGGCGATCAGGGCTAGTCTGCTAGTGAATAGGTACAAACTCCTAATACTTCTAAAACGGAGGGAAAGAAACCTGTAAGGGTCACAATGATTAACCTTAAGTACCGGTTTACTTATAAACCTGATGAACCTGGGATTCTAAAGTCTAAACCTGATGATTTGTCTGCTCATATTACTAGTTTTAAACCTGATAATCAAATGGGTGAGAACAGTGCATTTAGACCCAATACACTTGGCCTAGAGGAGGATAAACGAGGCACGGGGGGTTCCTTTAACACTTCGGGGAAGATGTGGCATAGACCCAAGATTGAGTTACCATTCTTTGAAGGAGTCAATCCACGGGGGTGGATACAAAAATGCCTTAAGTACTTTTCTCTCTATAGTATTCCAGACAATCAACGGGTAGAGGTGGCCACGATGTATTTAACGGGTAAGGCAAAGATTTGGTTTGATAGCTACATCATGCAGAAACACCACGTGACATGGCATGAGCTTGAGGCAGATATTTGTTCACAAGTTCAGTGACCGATCCTTTGTTGATATAGTGGAGGAATCTACAAAACTGATGCAGAAAGGTTCAGTGGAGGATTACCATGACCGATTTGAAGAACTACAACCTCGCAAGCTCTTACAAAATCCTACCTTAGGTGAGGATTTTTGTCTCTCTTTTTATCAGTGGGCTAAGAGAAGACATTAAACACAGAGTTAAGACTCTTGACCCTAAAACACTTTCTAATGCATGCAGGCAAGCTAAATTGTATGAGCTATCTGTCGAGTTTGAAAACAGACGATTGCGGTCATCTTTTAGAAACCCACCCTACCCAAACCCAATATCTGCTTCTAAACCAAACCCACTACCATTAGCTCAAAAGGGCGCATACATACCACTTCCAAAACAGAACCTTATTGACTACAGAAGACAGAATAACCTATGTTTTAAATGTGGTGAGAACCTTCTTCAGCTCCTATTTTCTTTACAAATCTAGTAAAAGACAGTGTCTATTATTTCAGATAAGGAGATTATTCTTGGTTGTAATTGTGAGGCTGATAAGCTAGCAAAGGAGGGGATTGGGTGTTTGTAAGCTTTTTATTTAGTTGTTCTTTGTGTTTTTACAAAACAATTGTATTAGGTGATTGTTTAAGTCTTATGTAACATGTTTATTAATAATATATTGAGGTACTCTTTTCCTCTTTTCGCTAGTCGGTTCTTTCCTTAGGTTAAAGGACTACTATGAGGGAGGTTTTTAATGAGGCCTTCTACTTCTACAAAAAAATGTGGTGAGATGTTTGCTTCAGGCCATCAGTGTAAGCCACGACACCTGCACATGATTTTTGAGGAAGAGGCTGCTATACCTTCAGAAGCTTTACCTAGTGATTCAGATCAACCAGTGTTACAAGAAGAAGAGAGCTTAGAGATTTCTGTGAATGCTATTATTGTCTGCATTGGCCATAATACATTGAGAATCCATGGAACCATTCAAGGCATGCCATTAAACATTTTGATTGATAGTGGCATTACTCAGTTTTTTAACACCACAATGGGCTAATACTGGTATTCAAGTGACTACCCCTTACCCTTTGGCCATTACAGTAGCTAATGGACAAGAACTTTTCAGCTCAGCTAGATGCAACAAGGTAGAATGGCAGATGTAGGGTCACTCCTTTTTACATGATTTCATACTACTAAAATTGGGTGGAAGTGATATGGTGCTAGGGGTTGACTAGATGAAATTATGTAGTCCGATCTTGATGGACTTTAACAACATGACACTGAGCTTTGTACACCAAGGAGAATAGATTGTTATACAAGGCCAACAACCTTCTACTACTTTGCAACAAATCTCAGGGGCCACCTTGTTGAAAATGACAGCCTCGTATTCATCTATTTTGGGTCATGTGGTAATGATGAGTATGACAGGGAATTCTCCACATATTCTTACAGCAATCCAACTTCTACTGGAAAAATATAATGCCATTTTTGCTGAGCCTGAAGGCCTACCACCTACAAGAAGCCATGCTCATACCATTCCACTCAAACCTGAGGCTACACTTGTTAATTTAAGACCGTACAGATTTACTCATAATCAAAAGGCTGAAGTAGGAAGGCAGATTGCTAGCATGTTCTCCTCCTCTATTATCCAACCTAGCAAGAGCCCATTTGCCTATCCATGTCTCCTAATTGAGGAGGATGATACTTGGAGATTTAGTGTAGACTACAGACAGTTGAATAGTATGACAGTAAATGATAAATTTCCTATTCATGTGGTTGAGGATCTATTGGATGAACTAAATGGGGCAGTTTACTTTTTCAATATTGATCTGAGATCAGGTTACTGGAAAATCAGAATTAAGGCGGAAGACATCTACAAGACACCATTCATAACTCATCAGGGCCATTATGAATTCAAGGTAATGCCTTTCGACCTCACAAATACCCCTGCTACATTTGAAGCACTCATGAATGATTTGTTTAGCTCATTCCTTAGAAAGTTTGTATTGATGTTCTTTGATGACATCCTAGTATACAGTAACTCTATGACAGACCATATTACTCATTTGCAAATGGTTTTGGTCGTTTTGCAAGCGAACCAATTATTTGCCTACTTGTCCAAATGTTTTTTGGACAGACTCGGGTGGAATATTTAGGTCTTATCATTTCAGCTGCAGGAGTGGCTACTGATCCTAGCAAGATGGAAGCAATGAAGAATTGGTCTGTGCCTAAATCCTTAAAGTCTCTGCATGGGTTTTTGGGTTTAACAGGCTACTTACTACAAACGATTTATCAGAAATTATGGAACCATCGGCAAACCTTTGACACATATGCTAAAGAAAGATAATTTCAAATGGAACCTTGAAGCTTTTACTGCTTTTGAAGATCTAAAACAAGCTATATGTGTTGCCACTGCTTTAGTCTTACGAGATTTTTCTAAGAGCTTTTAGTTAGAAACATATGTCAGTTATGGGGGCATAAGGGATGTACGTTCTCAAGATGGCAGACCTATAGCCTATCTTAGCAAGGCTGTATGCCCTAGACACTCTGCCCTTTCCATATATGAAAACTTGCTACCTTACTAGCAGTCTCTAAGTGGAGACATTATTTGGAGATCAAACCTTTTGTCATTAAGATAGACAATTAACCCCTAAAGTATTTTGGAGAAAAAATTAACTACCATCATACAGAAAAAAAGGGTTAACTAAACTGATGGGGTTAGACTACACTATTCAATACAGAAAAGGAAAATCTAATGTGGTAGCAGATGCCTTATCTAGGCAGTGGGAAGATCAAGCTTAATGTCTTGCTATGGGAACTACCTTATTAATAGCCAACTGGGTTCAGGATGTAGAGGATAGTTATAAGGACACACTGGTTACTGAATGGATTTTATTCTTGAATGTCAATTCCAAAGCCGACCCTAGATGGAAATATTTAAAGGCTATCCTCAGATTCAAGGACATTTTATATTGGTACTGCTGGGAGTCTTAAACTACATATTCTTCAAACATTGCATGATTCCCCTCATGGAGGTCATTCGGCAGCCCAGGCCACTTATCACAGGATTAAATCTTATTTTTATGGGCCTAGACTTAAGGCTATGGTGGATACTTATGTGAAGTCCTGTGAAGTTTGTCAACAAACTAAAGTGGAGCATATAGCAAAACCAGGCCTGCTGTAGCCCCTGCCTATTCCTCACTAAGCCTGGGAAATAATTACAATGGATTTTATAGAAGGCCTACCTACATCATCAAGGAAGAACTGCATTCTGGTTGTGGTAGACATGTTCACTAAATACAGTCATTTCTTGGCATTGTCCCACTCTTATTTTGTAGTTGGTGTAGCTAAGTTGTACTTGGATAATGTCTATAAACTACAGTTCCAGCCTAAAATGGCCATTTCAGACAGAGACAAGACATTCACTAGTCTCTTTTGGAGGGAGCTAATGAAGCAATTAGGAACTAAAACCCTGTTTAGTATTGCTTACCATCCTAAAATAGATGGACGAACAGAGAGGGTCAATCAATGTCTAGAACAATATCTGAGAGGACTTTGTTTTTTTCAACCTAAGCAGTAGGCCAAATGGTTGCCTCATACCGAATGGTGGTACAATACCACCTACCACACCGCCCTAAAACTCACCCCCTTTCAAGCTTTATATGGCTACAAACCTCCTACAATGGTATGACACACAGACTCACAAGTACAGAATGTAAGTGAATTGATGAACAATAGAGAAGAAATAAGACAGCTAGTTAAGCAGCAGTTAGAACATGCTAGCAATCGAATGAAGCAACAAGCAAACAAGAACATATCAGAGAGAATTTTCGAAGTGGGGTATGAAGTTTACCTCAAACTGCAACCTTACAGACAAACTTCCCTCGCCTTGCGCAAAAATCTGAAATTTACCAACGCCATCACGACTACACCCCGTATTCCATGTTAGTCTCCTGAAGAAACATATTGGTGAATCAACATCATCTACAACTGATCCTCCTGCAGTAGATGAAGACGGTCAGTTCAGGATCGAACCTTTGATGATATTGGGCAGAAGAATTGTTAATCGAAACAACAAACCAGTGACTCAGCTGCTAGTTGATGGGCAAATCTGGATGAAACGAACGATACTTGGGAAGATTTCTCCGTTCTCAAAGGTCAATTTCCCCGTTATCCAAGGTGAGGGAGCTCGTTGGTGCCTTTCCAGTTAAGTTTCCTGAGCTGGAAGAGGGTTTTGAAGAAGTTGGAAGTTCCATTCACTCTTCGGAGGTGCAGTTGGCCGTGAGGTTTTCTGAGAATGAAGAAATTTTTTTCTACTGTTTGGGGACTAGTGCTAGAGGCAGCATCCTGTCGGGTGAGGGTGTGGAGGACATGAACATAGGAGAGGCTTTGATGATGGGTCCGAGGAGCGACGTTGGGGGTCAGAGGATGGTTCTTTCCCAAATGGAGGGAGTGGGGGAACACAAGACATTGCTGGTGCATGGGAGAGAGAAGCAGTGGATGTCTTTAAGGATAATTGTTTGCCTGCACGTGGTTTTGTGGAGAGTAAGGATTTTTTAATTAATTCTCCATACAGGATGGTCTCTTAGTGTCAAAGGAATTGGAATATCTGAGCCTAAAGGATAAAGTGGATCTGTTGGTTCACGTGGAGAGGGATAATGAAGTTGCCTTTAGGAAAAATAGTGAGTCTGCATGTGCTTTTGTAGGCTCAAAGGATTATTTTAATGATTTTCCCATGTTGGATGGTCGGGTTGAGATAAGGGAGGTGGAGGAAGGGATTCATGAGGGTTGTTCTTACAACTATGCTTTCGTAAATCCAAAAGGTATCGCAAGGGAGTACATGAGACCTAAGGTGGGTTCTGGCAACAAATTTAGATCTAAACAATTTTTTCAAGGGAATTTTACAGCTCCTAAAAGAAAGTATAGGGGTTCCCGAAGCAAGAGCCATCAGAGTAAGGTGCATTGGGAGGAAGAGGTGTCTGTTTTTGATGGCAGATTCACTTATGAATCTGATTTTCCAGCATTGAGGCAGTCTCAACAGAAGGATACGTTCAATTCCTTGCCTTTTGGGAAAGATTTGGGTTGTGAGTCTAATGGCGCAGTAGTGTATCTATTGTCGGAAGACGATGGCGGGGGAAGGAGTAGAAGGTTCAGGTGATCTACACCATGCTTTTTGTCTGGAGCTGGAAGTTCGGATGGTCTTTAGCCAACAAGACGTGGTGATGTGGTGGAAAGGCGGCTATATGCGTGTTTTTTTTTTGTTTTCTTATCATGTGAAAGCTCCGTGGCCTTTGAGTTAGAAGTTGGCTTTTATGGTTTTAGTCAGCTGTCACCCTTGGCTTTTTTCTGGTTGTTTTGTTTGATTGAGTGTCTATCGGGCCTCGTTTAGGTTTTTTGTTTGGCCAGTCTTTTTTAGGCTGTTGTTGTTGCTTTGTTGGATTAGGCTGGTTCTGGTAGGATTGTTGGTGGCTGTTTTTGGTGTTTTGTTCATATTGGGGGTGGCTCCCTGGTTGTATCGTGTTCTTTCTATGGTTAATAAAATCTTAAGGCACTCTTTTCCTTCTTCCGCTGATTAAGGAGCTTCTCTATAAGCTCCTTTAATCATGAAGGAGGTTTTTAACGAGGCCTGCAATTCCTATAAAAAAAAAGGGTCAATTTCCCACATTTGATCCTTGGGGACAATGATCGTCTCAAGGGGCAAGTATTGTCACAGTAGGAGAAGGACGAGGAATCGAAGAAGAATTAGGGATGGAAAGGCAAGGGTTAGGGATTGAAAGAAGGAATTGAGGATTGAATTAGCCGGCACGTGAGAGACATGGAGAAAATTAACCTTCAGCTGACCTAGAAGCTATGTGAGTCAGCCCAGACTTGGAAGACCATTACATGCTGAAGAGAAACATAATCGGTTAGCAAGGACAACCACCTGACAATCTTAGATTCTCAGTACTATTGTAAACAAATAAAATCAGTACCTTGTATAGAATCAACTATGCATATTTTGAATGAAAATCTAATTCCTCATCTCTTCCTTTCTTCTACCTACGTTCTTTTCTCTCTATTCTTCTCTATTGTCTTGCAGGATATAACATAATTTTTTTTTTCGAATTCAAGCTGGACAGGTGAATTAACGGATAGGAGATCTACAACTGGTTATTGTTCATTTGTTTGGGGAAATTTGGTTACTTGGAGAAGCAAAAAACAGGTTGTGGTGTCTCGAAGTAGTGCAGAAGCAGAGTTTAGAGCAATGGCACTTGGAATTTGCGAAGGAATTTGGCTTCAAAGACTATTAACCGAGTTGGGGTTATGTGCCGACAAATGTTTTGAACTTCAAAGTGATAGTAAATCTACAATAAGTATTGCAAAGAATCCAATTCATCATGATCGCACAAAGCATGTGGAGATCGACAGACATTTCGTCTCTGAAAAGGTGAATGGTGGATATTTGAAGTTCAATTATGTTTCAGTGAAGAATCAGTTAGCAGATATTTTCACCAAGGTACTTTCAAGAATTACCTTTGATGAGATTACATCCAAGTTGGGTCTTTTCAACATCTACTCCCCAACTTTAGGGGGAGTGTAGGTTATGCGATAAGTCTTATTAGTTAGCAATTTAATGTAATACTAACTCTTAAAAAGTTTAATAGATAAGGATAACTACTAGTTAAATAGACAAGGATAACTATTAGGTAGTTTATTTCTAATAGAAAACTTACTCCTAACTTTTACTATAAAAGCAAGATGTACTTTCACCTATCAATATACGTTTAAAACTTTTCTTTTCTCCACTATGCTGATTACTCTTTATCAACAAGTTCTTTATTTGTAATCTCAACTAATCTTTTCTAATGCTTGGAATTCTGGATTGTGATGTGAACCTTTTTCTGACTGATTTGTAGGTTATATGGAATTTAATAGTTGTTTCATTATATTGTCATTTCTCCTAATTGTGAATTCTGAACGAAATGGTTGGTGCCTTACTTCATGGCATTTTTAAGATTGCTATAAGTTTCTTAGTTTTTTCCTTTCTGTGCTTTGGTTGTTATATTGCAGGCTTGTCGAAATGCTCTTGATTTGCATAGGAAAAAATTTCAACGTAATGCACCGCTTCTAAGACGTGAATTGACTTGGCAGTATGTATCATGCTTCTGGCAATTATTAATTTTCTTTCATTATGATTATTTATTTTATTATTTCTTGTTGGGTACAATTGATTTAATAGCCATTTGGGGAAGAAAGATATTAGTGGACAGCCGGACACATGAATGTTAATTATGACGAAAAAACCCTTTCAGTAGAGGTAAGCTATATAAATTCTACTTGTTCTTTTGGGCGTACTTACAATTCGTTACTTATGTATTTCGCCTGGTCACTATGCCCATTTAAGTCCTAAGCTGTCTACTCAACATTTTACAATGGGTTTCCTGATTCCATTCGGTTTAACAAGTTAAAATGCCTCAAGATACATCAAGCAGCACTGTTCATGTCGTGATACTAGGGGACTTTCAGGTTTCTAAATTCGTTCCATATACTCTTTAGAATTTGTTTTTCTGGCTTTCAAGGTCATCACTACAGAAAATTATTTACATGTGACTTCCTGGCTATTGTTTAATCCAAATAAATGTTATATCTTTTTGTGAATTTTATACTCCCAAATCATCTATAAGTTAGAGGTTAGAAGAGTCTGGCATTTTCATAATTGATTAATGTTGAACTCTAGTACTATTCTGATAATTTGTTAACTAGGAGGGGAGCGCTCTTTCTCAACATTATGCTTTGCGCTGGCTTTCCATGATATGACCAAAGCCCCATTTCGAGCTATGGATGAGTTTGATGTGTTCATGGTGAGTGTTTTCTTTTTTCTTTTTTGTGTTGGGGACTTGGGGTTGTAGTAATTAGCATCACATCCCTTGGGATTAAGGTAAATGCCATTGCCAGGTCAAGAAGCAATAACTCGTGAACTGAGCCGTGCCGTTATTTGTAATATTTTCCTCCATGATATAGTTAGCCGAAAAATCAACATGGACAATTTAGTTGACTTTGCATTGGCTCAAGGATCCCAATGGATATTGATCACCTCATGATATCAGGTTATTGTTTATACTTGTATATGCCCCCCTTCTTTTTCCATCCGTCTTTCTTTCTAATTCATAGACCATAACCATGTTGAGTTATGAGGCCAGACTCAGTCGGCCATAATATGAAGAGGTTAATAGGGTGTCTTAACTCTTGTAATGTATGAGAAAAATAATTAAGGTAGATAATGTGAAAAAAATGTATAAATATAGAGGGGCTAGGCATGTGATGAATTCAAGAATATAAAATTTGTGAGTAACAAATGGGAAAAATTAAAACTTTTACCAAATAAAAGTTTAACTTAATAATTCAATTTTTTTAATATAACAATTTCTTTTGACAAATTTTAAACCTAGTTCTATCTAGAGGGGAGGAGAAAGGGGGACTCTAGGGAAAGGAAGGGAAGTGTTCATGGTGGGTCTAAAACTCTTAAAAGAATACGAGGAAACAAAAATGAGTAGCTTGATCAACCCGCCGAATATGTTTGCTTACTATAACAAATTTATCTTGTTTAAAGCTTCGAACGTAAGAGACATAATTAGTTATGCCTTGTAGCTTTAAAACTAAATGATTCGAAATATACAAAATTATAAGCAATCATGTAGCAATTAGTAGTGTTTGTTACTACTTACTAGTAAAAGAATCACTGTTATACCTTTGCCGAACATATTTAATAATGTGGATAATTACCGTCTAAATTATTATAATAATATTTTTATGATTTTTTCTTAAATTAATATTGAAAAAAAATTATTCTGAAAATGACATCCATTTATGTCATATTGGACGAAGGTGTGCCTCCGTGATAGTGGCTTTTGAAAGGCTTTTCCTCAAGGAAGCGCATTTATTGGTTGACCTATTACGTAGCAAAGGCGCTTAAGGTAGTGATTTTCAAAAGGTGAAAAACAATTAATATGACCTATAACAGAAGGAATATTTGAATATAATATATAGAGCATGAAACAGAGAGAAAGAAAGCAATAAAAAATAGGGTTTTGTTTTGAAATACTAACAAACTAAGGATCTGGTGGGAAGATGAAAGGAATGTCTTTTCTTGTGTCTGTGGGAGACATTGCTTACTGTAACAGAAAATTATAGAATTGTATGGCCAAAGGTAAAGGCAACAAGGGAATGAGGAAAAAGTGGCAGCAAAAGAAAAAGATTATTTGTATATAACAAGGAAGTTGTAATTTGTATGTTTTTCCATCGCCTCTTTCTTTTAAATATTTTCTTTGCTGTTACCAACCAAGAAAAGGAGAATAAAATCATAATGATGAAACCTCCCATGCAACCAGCAGTTTGAGAAACCATGAATCTCTCTCCATCAAACCCTTCTTTCCCTTAAATTTGCCTTATGTAAAGATCAAGCTTCTCTAAACCGGTCAGTTTTCTTCACATAAACCATGAAGAAACCTCCATTTCTTCCATCTCTGATCACATTTTTCTGGGGATCATCTATGTTAGTGTCATGTGCTTCTTCACTGCCTCTCCCATTGATTTTCTATTTTGTCGTTGAAATCCTCAAAGACCTTGTTTTCAGTTTCAGAGACTGGGACCCTCCTGCATTTTCCAAGTCTGGTTTTGAAGACCTGTTTGGTGTTCATGATCTGGTGTCAAGTGCAATTCTAAAACAGCTCAAGTCACGTCTCTGGATCTCTCACATGGGAATCTCTCCAGTGTTATTCCACCGAAAATCAGATATTTGAGGAGTTTGTTTAACTTGAATTTGAGTGGGAATTACTCTGATCGGCCTCTTCAATGAGCCATTTTTGAACTCCAGCAATTTAGAACTCTTGATACCAGCCATAACTATTTCAATTTGACGTTACATCCTGGGGTTTCCACTTTCCAAGCTTAGGTTCTTGAGAATCTTCAATGGATATAGCAACGATTTTGAGGGTCCATTATTGATAGAGTTTGTATTGTTACGGTTCTTGGAGCAACTCAATCTTAGGGGAAGCTACTTTAAAGGTGAAATATCAGCTATTTATGGAAGGTTTACCAGGTTGAAGTTGCTTGACCCGGCTGGGAATGCAATGGAAGGCACTTTACCACGTCAACTCAGATTCTTGACTCAGCTTGAACGGATAGAGATTGGCTACAATGCTTTTACAGGCACCATACTAGTAGAGTTTGCATTGTTATCGAATCTGAAGTACTTGGACATCTCAAATTGTACACTTTCAAGTCCACTCCCGAAAGAACTCGACAATTTAACTAAGCTGGAAGCTATGTACTTTTTCAAGAACAGTTCACCAGTGAAATCCCGGCGAGTCACACGAACTTGAAAGCTCTCAAGGTTCTTGATTTATCTGATAACCAGCTCAGTGGTGCAATTCTAGAAGGTATATCTTCTTTAACAGAGCTAACGCGGTTAAGCTCGATCGACAACTTTTCTGGTACAATCCTGGAAGGAATCAGTGAGTTACCAAATCTCAACACTTCGCTTCTCGGAACATCAACCTTAGAGGCATTCTTCCACGGAAACTGGGTTCAAATGGGGACTTTCTATCACTTTGATGTCTAGTTGAATTATCTCACAGGTCCAAGCCCTCTAAATCTTTGCTATGGGAACAAGCTTGTCAAACTCATCATGTTTAACAACATGTTCACGCATGAGCTACCTTGAAGCCTTGTAAGCCGCACTTCACTTTCAAGATCCTCAATCCAAAACAATATTCTCAACGGTACCATCCCTTGCGGTTTCAGACTCTTGAAAGACCTGATGTTTATTGATGTAAGAACAATTTTACCGGAGAGATTCCGAAGGATTTTGGCTGTGCACCGATGTTACAGTTCCTAAACACCTCCGAGAACTCTTTTAATGCAGCGAGCAACATTTGGGGTGCACCAAGTTTGCAGATATTCTCAGCCAATTCAGCCAAGCTAACTGGGGAAATGCTTGATTTCATCAGCTGTAAAAACGTGTACAAAATCAAGCTCTCTAAACGGAAACATCCCTTGGGACATTGATCATTGTGAAAAGCTTGTCTTTGAATTTAAGCAGAAATTTATTTACTGAAATAGTTCCATAGAAAATAGTAATCGTTTAACATCAGTGTCGTCTTCAGTAGAGGTTTCAACATCAGAAGCTTTAGTTTGAGGTTGAGGGGAGGAATCAGCAGATTCCGAGTCCATTCTACTTCTCAAATACAATCAAAGTTACACCGGTAATCTGAAAAAAAGGAAAGAATTCTAAAACTATGAGTAAAAACCACATTATCAGATCATCAATGAGTTGCAATACAAATTCAAGGAATCAATCCAAAAGTAAGCCAAGAAAAAAGCATGTGTTTTGCTTATTGAACAAAACATAATCTTCACACTCAAAACATTGTCTTTACTTTTTTTTATCTAAATAGACATTTTGCTTTGAGAAGCAAAATTTAATGGAGCCAAAGGAGTTTGGAATTCCTTGAAACAAATTTCGAGCAATAAAATTAATATTTCAAATTCAAATCAATCGTTTTCTTTATATGCATAAATTTAAGCACCAGAACGTCCTAATTCAACAATGAATTGAATGCAATTTGTAAAATATTAGATCAGCTGTTTTCATTTTCCTCGTGCCCGGATATAAATGAAGAAAAAGACTATACCCCTGACGAGTGCTTTGAGTTCATCTTCACCAAAAGCTTTCAAGCACACGAATTCATCGGCCAGAGCCTCAAAGTCGGACTGACTGGCAATGGGGAAGATGAACAACCTATGGATGGGGGGCGCTGGTGGAAGAAAGCTATGATTTTGGCAGGTTGAAGAAAAGTAAAAAAGGATAACTGAAAATTTGTACCTAAAGTGTTTTTATTTGTAAAAAGATCCATAATTAATATTTTATTTAAAGTATAGGGGTTAAAAGAAAATTTATCCCTTTCATTAATATACATCATCAACTTAACGACATTTAACGTTTTAATGATCAAAATTTAATAAAATGATAACATAAGTGATTAAAATTTATCTTTTCTGAATTTGGTGGACGAAAGTGTACAAAATAAAAAGGTAATTGATCATTTCAGTGGTTTATCCTAAAATAGATTAAGAACATCGGTGTCCTGGTTATATCGTACTCGAGTTGTACGAATGGACATGACTGTCAGGTTTCTGGCCTTTGTTGAAAGCCCATAAAAAGAATCTGACTTGGAGTTTGGGCTTTTCTTCCTTTCTCATTTCTCTTGTTGAAGCTCCGAATTCGCTCTCTCTCTCTCTCTCTCTGCTCTGAATCGTTTATCGTAATTACCATCAGCAATGGCGACATCTATCGCAGCTCGCTTCTCCAGAATAACCGCGGCCTCGGCATTCTCTGGATGCCGTAACGTGATTGCCTCTCGTAGTTTCGCCACGGAGGCGGCCAAAACGATCTTGCCATCGTCAGATCGAGTGAATTGGGACTACAGGGGTCAAAGAAAGATCATTCCTCTTGGCCAGTGGGTCCCTAAGGTAGCTGTCGACGCTTACGTTGCCCCCAACGTTGTCTTGGCTGGTCAAGTAACCGTCTACGACGGAGCCTCCGTGTGGAATGGCTGTGTCCTACGTGGCGATCTCAACAAGATCACTGTTGGGTTCTGCTCTAATGTCCAGGAACACGGCGTCATTCACGCTGCTTGGTCCTCGCCGACCGGTAATCCGTTCATTTCTCTTTGTACTTTTAGATTTTCTGGAACATTTGGTAAAATAAATTTTAGGGTTTGGGGTTTCTTGGGCTTGTTTATAATCAAAATTTAGCTTTAATTAGATTGTGTTTTGGTTTTAAACTGTTAATTTAAAATTGGGACGAGCTCAAGTAATTAAGGATTTAATTAATTGAGATTTGTATATTATATTATAATCTATTCAATGAAGCTAAAATGAGAGAAATTGGTAGGAGGAAGAATATCTGTAGCTGCTAGAATTTAGGAGTCTGGTTACTAGGAGCTATTTGTGTCTGTACACTGTAAGCTAAATTATTTTACTCAACGAACATCAATATTTTGTAGTTCTTTTATGAGTCTTATTGTCAGATGGAGAGCTATTTGTATTTAGGGGTCATTGTGAGCTTTACAGCGGTCAGTAATCTCATTTTCCTTTTGATTCATCACTTAAGATCTACTTGTTGGTCCATTGGATTGTATCTCGAAGGATAATTTATTATTTTGGCGTTCAATGCATTGCATTGTCGAAATACTCGTAACTGAAAGACCAAGTATAATATGAAAAGGAAGGGTAAAAGAAATGTTGATTTATAATACTGCTTTTTTAGTTGTTAAGAATGTATATGAGGCGGAAAAGTTTTTTTTTCCAGAGTGACAAGGAAGTGAATTGCAACAGTGATCACTCTTAAGCCGTAAACATGGTTCTTGTTCCTTGTTCTTCATAGTGCAGTGTGAGGCTTATGGTTGCTGCTGTGGGTTTAGTTGTTTAGTAGCTTAGACCATCTAAGATTAATCCTATTTCAATAAAAGGAAGGACTTGGATCCCCTCTAATACGATAGGGAGTTTTTAAATAATTGATTATGAATCCATCTGAAAACATAGTTACATACAGGATAATGTCCTCCTGCCTCCAGGAATTACAGCCTGAACAGCAGAATGCAGTTTTTAGATCCCCAAAAATGGTCTAAGGGCTTTCAGTATAACTAATCACATTTAAAGGGATACTGTCAGTGCCCTTTTATATTTGCACTGATACGATTGTGTGATTTGCTTTGACATGTTAGTTATATGGTGCATGGGTGCAAAAGACAGGTTAAATTATTTTAAAGAACTGGATAAATGTTTGCAAGCAATCTGTAACATAACAACAACCTTGTCTTCTGGACTTTTCGTTTTCATAATCTCTTTTCGTGGATAGATAGAGACGCATAAGCTATCGTATCATCTTTTGTTAAGCATCTGTCTCTATGGTACCCATTAGCAACTATTAAGCTCTAAGTTCTAACCCACTGGTATAGGAAGTGGAGATACAATGCAATGATATAGCTTGCCTTTGTGTGACCCTCACAAATTGCTGGTCCTTTTCACTGTGTCTTTTAATAATTCCAGGAATCTGATATTTGCAACATACTTTCGAAGTTGCATGTCTTTCAGAAAGTGCATTCTTTTCTTACTGTCAAGAATCGATTCAGTCTTGAATCTTGTTTATTGTTTACTCCTCTTTTGCTACCTTTTCTATTTTCTCCCGTAAAACCCGCAAATCCACACATAATATCATGTCTGCCTCGTTCATGAAACCGGAGATTGATGCAGTGTTATGCTGTGTAGTCGCAATGAATCATATAACTCAATATTTGTATAGATAGAGCTTTATTTTGTCCATGTGCTTCTCAGGGTTCAAGCTGATTTCTGTTCCTTATTGGCATCATGGGAATACTATTTTGACATGACTATGTTTAATTCGTAACATTGTTCTATCTTAAAGGACTTCCAGCGGAGACATCAATTGAGAGGTTTGTGACAATAGGTGCATACAGTCTCTTGAGATCATGCACGATCGAACCAGAGTGCATTATTGGACAACATTCAATTCTTATGGAAGGTTCCTTGGTGGAGACGCACTCAATCCTTGAAGCAGGTTCTGTAGTTCCACCAGGTAGGAGAATCCCAACTGGTGAGCTTTGGGCAGGAAATCCAGCTAGGTTTGTTCGAGCCTTGACCCACGAAGAAACCTTAGAAATCCCTAAACTTGCAGTAGCAATCAATGATCTAAGCAAAGAACATTTCTCAGAGTTCCTTCCTTACTCAACAGCATATTTAGAAGTTGAGAAGTTAAAAAAGTCCCTCGGAATAACCATTTGATGATTGCCTTTCATTTCTATTTTCCCATAATATTGGCTGCCCCTAGTATTCCTTGGAAGGAAATAAGCAGCCAAAGAACACCAACAAGAATATTTTCTGTTGTTTATCCATGCATTTCCATCATTAAAAAGACCACTGTAGTTGTGAGCTTGCAAGTGAATTAATATCTTTGTTCAAATGACATTATCATCATTACTTTCAACAACTCCATTGGACCAGAAATTCATTTTGATTTTGGAAATATATATCCAGGCAAGGTGTGGTAAAACCCAAGTAAATTGTATTTCGTGAAACCATATAAACACGAATAAATAATTTTCAAAATTTTAATCAAATATTAAACAGTTTATTAAAAAATGACATTTAAAATTGGTAAATCATATTCACATCTCAATTCGAGCTTGAAGAAAGTTCTTGAATCAATACTTGATTCCAATATAGAATTTATCAATTAAGTTGTGTCACTGACAATGATGTTAGTGTTTTTATAAGATAAGTTGAGATTTTGATCACATTAAGTATATGTGTTCGTATACTGAATATTATTTTATAATCACATCTTATATTGTTATAAAAATATAAAATTAAGATTTTTTTTTAAAAAATCAATTATTAATTTGAAATAAAAAATGTTTATATACCAGTTTTGAAAACAAAATCAATTTCAATTTGCACAATCAACCAATGTTAAACATATTACGATATTTTCTCACTTGGTGCATGAAAAAGCATATTTCAGTTTGGACTGCCATAGATTGAGGCCCAGTTTTACAAATAAACTAATTTTGAGTGGAGTTAATGGCCCAAACCCACAAATAAGCAATTAATATTCTCCACTCAAACAAGAGAGAATCAAAGTTTGGCCCTTTACTTAAAATCTGCCCGTTTCTTCTTCTTAATATTACACTTTCAAAATCTCCAAACTTGGGTTTTTTTTTGAATTTTGATTCTGGGTTCTAGGGTTTGTATTACTATGCTTATTCTGATTGTGTGATTTTTTTATTTCGTTGGGATTCAAATTTTAAAGCTTGATATGAACGGGGAGGAGTTGACAGAGCAGGAGACTGCTCTTTATGATCGACAAATTAGGGTTTGGGGTGCTGATGCTCAAAGAAGGTATCTTTAATCTATTTTATTGTGATTTTATTTTATTATTGTTTTTTGTTCATATGAGTATTTTTGATTGTTTTAGATTGAGCAAATCTCATATACTAGTTTATGGAATGAAAGGGACTGTTGCAGAGGTATAATATCTTCACCTTTTTTAAAATATGAGTTTTACTCGCTTTGTTGCTAGGGTGTGTAACCGAGACCAGTCAAACTCGTGTTGTAAGAAACTGCTTTAGTAAAGTTTCAATTGCTAAATTAGCTCAATGAAGCTCATTTATCTAGTAAAAAAAAGCTCCATTATTGAATTCAACTCCAAACTTGATTAGTTATACTTGTTTTCATGTCCGGTTTGGGGTTGTTTTCCGTACTATTTAAAAGAATAACTCGGTTAGGCTCTTGAGCTGCTTGAGTTAAGCATTAGGTTACTTGAATTCGGCTTGCTTAAGGTGCTCAAGCACGATAATGAACAAGCTGAATTAAAGTTTTGTTTCAAGGTGATCTCGATTTGCATGTGAACTCAAGTGTCTCATTCACATCCTAATTGTCACCACTATAGCTCTTTTGTTATTGTATTTTTTCTTTTCTTTCTAATTATTAATATATGTTTAAACTTGTGGCTATGGGTAGTTTTGCAAGAACATTGTACTGGCAGGAGTTGGTAGTGTGACATTGGTGGATGACCGTGCAGTTAATGAGGAAGCTTTGTCCACAAATTTCTTGGTACTGCCTGATGAAAATCTGTACCATGGGAAAACTCTTGCTGAAGTCTGTTGTGATTCTTTGAAAGAATTCAACCCCATGGTTCATGTTTCTGTAGAAAAAGGTTAGCTTTTTTTCTTGGCCATCTGTTTTGTGGTTTTGAGCATCTTATGGTGAAAAATTCGGAATGCTTGTAATTTTTGTGCATTTTGGGTAGCCGTAGAGTGACATCTCCTTTTGGGGGGATTGCAGGTGACATATCAACATTCGGTGTGGAATTCTTCGAAAAGTTCGATGCTGTGGTCATCAGTTGCTGCTCTCTTGCAAAAAAGGTATTAGCTAATATCATTCCCGATGCATCTTATAGCATGTAGATGATATTTCGTGTCGAGCATATTTTGACGCCTAACTGAAACCTTTCTTCAATTGCAGAAATTGATCAATCAGAAGTGCCGGAAGTTACCCAAGCATATAGCATATTATACCGTTGACTGTAGAGGCTCTTGCGGTGAAATATTTGTTGATTTAAAGAACTATAAATATTCAAAGGTGATAAATATCACACATTTAACTAGTGCTCATTCTCTAATAACAATCGCACCACAATTTGCATTCTGCATCTTGTACAACGTACACAAACTCATTTTAGAAACTAAAAGGACGGATAATAATTCCAGATTCATGAATTAGAAATGCAATTGTCGGTACTAATCGTGGGAATTTCTGTGGGAATTTCTAGTTGAACTTGGTTTTTTTTCATGAATTGTTCTTGTGCCTCTAGTGTATTTTCTGCTTGTTTAGTTGGTTTAACACTTAGTCTTAATTGTGCCTTATGATGTGTATGATGAGCATTTAATACTCTTAGGTACCCTATTTCTCTGACCGAATGTGTAAGCTTGTATTCTTGCTTTTATTTCTTTTTACAGAAAAAGCTCGAGGAAACCATTGAATGCCAACTAGAATACCCGAGCTTTGAGGTATGTGATAGACTTATTCTAAACAATTATTAGTACCTTGACACATAATGTGCAATGCTGTCCTCAATGCATATTATGCATCCTAAATGTGTGCATTTTGTTAATTTATTTTATTATGTACATTCCTTTCTACTACAGGATGCCATTGCAGCCCCTTGGAAAGCGCTTCCGAAGAGAGTGTCAAAGCTTTACTTTGCTATGAGAGGTATGCTAAATATACTCTTTTGCTTTCCGGACAAGAAATAGGGGAAAACAAATCAAAATCAAGTAGTATTTGGATCTGATGAATAGTTTACTACGATGATTGTAGGCAAACCGAGGTCTCCCTTTTTTACTCTCATGCTTGCATGCCTCTTGATGAACCATTTTAATGTGCCCATTAAATACAGTTTACCTTCTTTTTGTCCATGCATTTTTCCAAGCCAATTATGTGGTGGGTAATATAGTTATATTTTATGCCTTCAGTTTAGATTCGTTAAACTTATCCAATATTACATGATACCAGGTTTATTTATAAGCGTTTCTTTTTAACTTGCCTATATTCATACAATGGATCACATAGTTGCCTCACTTCTTACAGTGATAGAGCAATTTGAAGATATTGAAGGTCGTAACGCAGGACAAACATCAATTGCTGATCTTCCTGGTGTTCTGAAGCTCAGAAAGGAACTTTGCGAAACAAATGTATGGTACTAGGCATTTTGTCATCATCATTATCTAGCAGCGTGTTGTATGTTCGTACTTACATTATAATAATTTCTTGCAGTCGGTGAACGAGTCTCAAATACCCGATGCACTCCTAGAACGACTGCTAACAGGTACAAGTGAGTTCCCTCCAGTTTGTGCCATCATTGGAGGAATCCTTGGCCAGGTTTGATTTTTGGCCTTATTATTCTCGCTATCAATCAAAATATCGAAACTATCAATTACATCTATAACCGTATTAACTCTACATGATTGACCTTTAAATGGTGTAGGAGGTGATCAAAGCAATATCAGGCAAAGGGGATCCTCTCAAGAATTTCTTCTTCTTCGATGCCATGGATGGGAAAGGCTTGATTGAGGACATATCGAAGCCTTGACATGGGTAGCTGAGCCACTTCAATCGAAGTGGGTACGCAAAATTGTAACTTAAGCTTGTAACTTTTCAGCCTCCTCCGCCTGCTAACATCCATCTACTGATATTGTTTCCTAAAACTCTTGAAGTTCAGAAAACTCGAAACTTTTGACCTTTCTTAAGAGACTTTTAGAGGAAGGTTCATGCTTTAGGGCATCTAATCTATAATTATATTACTGAAATTTGCTTATGTTGCTCTCGACTCTCGTATCCGACATATGGATATGATCTTTTAAGTATCTATTTAATGACAAAATGAGCAAATACTTGTATTATAAATGTCAGTGTAGTGTAGTGTTGTGTTTGTATGGTGTGTGTTATTAATATATTAAGAAAATTTAATACAAATACTTTCTTTCTAATCACTTCATACTATTAAAAATAAATAAATAAATAATCATCGGTTCTCGACAGTCCCACAAATGATAAAAAGTTTAAAATTATAAATGATGAACCAAAACGTGGGTACATTTTGTCCCGCAATAATGCCATTACTAATCACATTCAAAAACCAACGTCTCTAATCCATTTATTCAAAATCCCCAAAAAGTGAGCAGAGTAATGATCGAAAGTTAAAAAAGAAGAGACCCTACCATGGAAGGACCTTGTGCAGATGAAGAAGAAACCGAAGGCCAAAAGCTTCAACTTCTTTTAAAGAACCTGGAACATGAATAAGACTTCATAAACAAAAGACCTGAAAAAAAAAAAAACTCTTTATAGAACTTCGACGGGCTTGTCTAAAACGACCAAAACCCTCGGACATGTCTTCACCATTCAAGGAAGCTGCATGGAAAGTGAGGACAACCGACTTGGAAGTGGAAGAGATACTCCGAGAGAGAAGAGCGGCCATCGTGAGCGGTAAGTTGAAAGGAAGGCGGCTTTTTGAGGACGTCGAGGATGAAACCAGAGTGGGTTTTGCATGCAGCGGGTTGGAGATTGGTTTGGTTGAAGAGAACGAAGTTAGGTCGGTTTTCTCTTACGAATCTGATGACGATGAAGATGAAAACTGGATGCCGAGGAAAGAACATTTGTCCCCTTCGTCTCCCCATTGTTCTTATTCATCATCATCATCTTCTTCTTCTCTGTGTGCTGCTGAGACAACAATGGGGGGAAAGAAAATAGCCTGTGATATCGTAGAAAGTGGAAGGGCGAGATCGAATGTCATCAAGGTCTCTATTGCCATTAGTTTAATTTTGTTCATTGTTGTCATCTTCTCAACGGGGAGCGTTGGTGTATATGAGGACGAAGAGGTGATTCTAACCCCAACATGAAAGTACTTTTCTTAACTTGAGATCAACATGCTAAGAATATCGATGAACTAAATTCTGAATTTAACTGCTTTTTTCATGTTTAATTTCATTGATTTGTTTGAACATCAATGTTTTTAGTTATATAGTTTGCACGTAACTGAGCCTCATTCTACGGTTTTAAGGTCTAATGACATTTTTGGTCCTCAAAATTTTACATTTTTATCAAATTGATTAGGTCTGATTTAAATTTCATGTTCTTGGGTGAAAAAGTTGAGGAGAATGTCATGTTGAAAATCAGACCTAGTGCAATTTAATTAGTTAATTGTAGGCAATAATATGAAGTTTAGCCTCTTAAACCAATGCAACAACTGCCAACAGAGAGCCAAAATTCTGAATCATATGGCATAGACTTCCAATGGAACATCTGGAACGATGCGGGATTTAATTTTCTCGAGAAAGTGTAAGAAAATTAGTAGTGCACCACAGGCTCAACGAACGAGAGTTTAATTTTAAAAAAATATTTATGATTTTAAAAATAAATTATGAATTTTCATATACATTATAAAAAATTGATTTGCCAGATACCATACCCCATGTTTCAACAAAAAAATAAATGGATCCGCTCTTGATGTACCAATAAAGATTAAATTTTGTACAAAAGAGAGACCAAAATCATGATCACATGCCATGGTCAATCAAATAATTTCACCATACACTTGATCCTCTTTACATCGTATGATTAATAAGACCATTGCCATCAGCAAACAAAACCCTTTTTTATTTTTCTGTATTGAGTTTTAATTAATTTCCTGTGCTTGTGTGCTTCATCTTTCTCCTTCATGTCTAAAACACCAAAACTCACTCTTTTTACAGTTATTCTAAAGGATATATATATATCGGTCACCTTTAAATAAACATTATGAACTTGGAGTTTAATTCTGATAATTTCAAAATTGAGTCAAATCAGAGTCATCTCGTATTCCTCATCTTATGACTCAGCCAAGAATGTCAATTCCTTTATAATTCCCTTTGGATTGTGGCTTATGAGTCAACCATATTCCCCACTCTTTGAATTTTTAGGCTCTCCTTTTCATTCAATGGTGTTGACATAATTTAAAAAAAAATATATTATAAAAGATATATTATTATTATTTTTAGTTTTTAAAGTTACGTTTTGACTAATCAAGATCGACCCGGATCGTACACCTAACTATAGTGTGTGAGTATCCAAACGAAAATTTTCTACATACATAAGGACCCGAACTCAAGACATGCTTAAAAGATATCAAACTGTTTACTGTTTGAGCCAACTCTATTAGTATATTTTATTTGTTTTAAAGTATTTGAGTTTAATTTCGATAGTTTAAAATAAGAAGTTAATTGAGTCCAAATAACTAATGGTCGGCTTAATTGCTTGTGAGTTTAAGTGGATTTTTATTACACTTCTTTGCTTATAAATATTAATTTAAATTCGAAACATGATTTATTATGTTAAATGTGTAATATAAAGATTATATTCTTTTAAAAATAAGCGGGCCTAATTAATAATGATGCAATTCAAAATCTAGAATTCTCTATTTTCTTTTTGAAAAATTAATCAATTTTTTTAAAGGGTATGAGTAAATTTAAAACCAATTCCGAGCCTCCATTTGTCTCAACCTCGTCCATGCTCTTAAACACGTGGCATTATCGGAAATGCCACGTCATGTTATCATGACTTGTGTGGTATATTCTCACCATCCATCCTGTTTATGATGATATGATCAATGATGATAAAATCCCCTACCTTCCGTTTAGTTTCACATGGTTTTAATCCTCTCGGAAACCTCAGTGAAGAACCCAACAGAAAAGAAAACAAATAAGCTCTCATCAATGGGGGAGGTAATGATCTTAAAACATTCTTCATTGTCTTCCAGTTTTTAACACATGTTTACTTGAATCTTATTTGTGTTCTGGGATTTTATTTGTCCAACAGGAAGAAAAGAAACCTGCAGAGGAGAAAGATGGTGAAAAGCCATTGAAAGAGGGGAAAGAAGAAACGAAGGAGGAAACGCCTCCGCCGCAAGAGATTTTTTTGAAGGTTTACATGCATTGCGAAGGGTGTGCTCGGAAAGTTCGTCGGTGTCTCAACGGCTTTCAAGGTTTTAAATATAAAACAAAACAACTTAAGTTTCGGTTTTGTTTATTTGATTTGGATTTTGATGAAATTAATGCATTTTGTTTTGTAATTTGTAGGGATTGAAGATGTAATAATTGATTGTAAGAGTAACAAAGTGGTGGTAAAAGGAGAGAAAGCTGATCCTTTGAAAGTTCTCGAGAGAGTTCAAAGGAAGAGTCACCGGAAAGTGGAGCTTCTTTCGCCGGTTCCGAAACCACCGGCGCCGGAGGAGAAAAAACCAGAGGAAAAAGAGAAATATAAGCCTGAAGAGAAGAAAGAAGAGGTCAGTCTCTTTCATGAATCACTTGATAAAACATTTTATGTTTCCTCATTACCTAATCCGATAAATTTCGGGTTTTTTCCTTTTTCCTCGGCGATGAATTGTGCAGCCGGTGCCGATCACGGTGGTTCTGAAAGTTCATATGCATTGTGAAGCTTGTGCTCAGGAAATCAAGAAACGTATTCAAAGAATGAAAGGTTGGTCCATTTAAAGATTCTATGTAGTTATGAATCGTAATTAATTGACCTTTTTAATATGAAGAAGTGTGTTATTTTTCAGGTGTGGAATCAGCTGAAGCAGATCTAAAGAATTCCGAGGTGACGGTGAAGGGAGTGTTCGAACCACCGGAACTGGTGGCGTACGTGTATAAAAGAACCGGGAAGCACGCGGTGGTAATGACGCAAAATCCGCCGGAGACGAGCAAGGAAGACGGAGGGAAAGAGAAAGCTGAAGATGTCAAGAAGGAAGAGAAAAAAGGCGGTGAAGAGATCAAAGATAAAAAGGACGGAGGTGATCAAAGCACGGAACCCAAAGAAGCAGCCGTGGAAGAAGCGCCGGTTGAGACTGAGGAGAATAAAGTGGCGGTGGAAGTGAAGAAGAATGAATATTATTACTACCCGCCAAGGCATGCTACGGAGTTTTATGGATATCCGCCTCAGATGTTCAGTGATGAGAACCCTAATGCTTGCAGTGTAATGTAAAAAGATGAAGGATTCAAGGGCATTGTGGGGATAAGAATAGAAAAGAACATTGAGTCGTCTTGTTCCTCGGCTTGCCCCCGTCATTTTACTCTGTACGCTCTGCCTAATGGCTGTACTATTGGTATTAAAAAAACAGCTAAAGCTTGTACCCTTTTTATATTATTTAAAGATGTAAATCTCAAAAATTTTGTATTCTCTGCAATAATAATGGATGGTTGGATTTTGTAAGTAAGTTTTGGTGATTTTTTTCTTAATGTCATAATTATTAATGATATCTGGTGAACCCTTTTGGTTGTAGAAGGAGGCTATTTTTCTTTTTTGATAATTCTATATATACACTATATATACACGGCTCGAAATTTTTATATTTAATTTGAAAACACGTGAAACAGTTAATATTATTCTATTCATCTTGAAAAATAATCCTCTGAATGAATTATATTAAGAATTAAAAAAAATTCACTTATATTATCTTCTCCATTTTATCATATAAACACAAGATAATATTTGATTAAATTTTTTTAATTATTTAATAATGAATTATCATATTTTTTAAATCTATATTTCAAATTTAATTTTTTTTAAAGAATAACAATCTCTTAATTAATGAAATCGTAAAAAAAGTTATTTTCATTTTTTAAAAAAGGATATTGATATTTTAATGTTAAACATATATATCATAATTTATAAATACTTGGTAATAATTAAAAGTGGAAAAATATGGATATCTTTATAGTATAAAATATTAGTACAAATTTTTTAAACAATTTTGATATTATTTTAATCCATTGATTTAGTAAAACAAATCCTTAATCCTGAATATTATGAATGAATATATTAAATTGAAAGTGTGATGATGATTTTAAATTGACATTATAAATGAAATGAAATGAATTAAATTAAATTAAGAGAATCTTTATAGAATATTTTTTTATAATTTATTTAAACTGATTGATTAATAAAATAAATATTAATTATTGTATAAAAAGAATTTTAAAATCTTCAATATATTTAATTATTATCTAATATTTTATATAATTGATTAATAGATTCATGAATGTTAAACATACATTTGATAACTTCTCACCGAATCAAACTTAGTTAAAGTAAAAGAACAACTAAGACCAATTAAAGTTACCCAAACAGCTATTTGAAGCTTAAGAACAGTAGTGTGTTTTCATTAGCAGTAAGCACACAACTCAACCCAATCAGAAAAGAATCCAAAAACAAAAACAAAGGCAGCAAGCAAACCCAACCAGAGGTCTAGAATAAAGAACAAACTCGAAGCAGCACCAACACCAACCTCAACAACTGGCCTCATATAATCATTGTCAAATACAATAGATCACGAAGAACATAGGATTTTGTATTAACAGAATCAATTTTATAAAATTTAAGAGAATAAATATAAATTATTAATAAAAATATACAAAAATAATAAATGATGAGAGGGTTTCGGTGTATAGATCAAATATGTTCATGTGGGATACAAAATAAACCCAATAAACATTTTATTAAGAAATTGCAAAGCAACAACATAAAAAAAGGGTTTTAATTGGATAGTAAATCAATGATCATATGTAATCTATCTGGACGGTGCTTAATCTCTTTCCACACGTCCAAGGCAGAATCCGATACTGCTCTTCTTGCCACCTGGTACTTTGTCCCCACATGGTGTCGGTCTATAAAACCCTGTATTAAATTTCAACGAACAACAAACACAAATATTTCATTGTATCCATCTTATAACTTCACACGCACCTGATGTTTGCAGGCCTGTGGTGATGTTGCTGTATCCATTGTAAGAAAAAAGATGGAATTTTGTTGTTGGTTTTTATCATTTTAAACATTTCTTTAGTTAATTTTTGTTTGTGTATTAGATATGCATCGGTTATAGCAATAGAGAGTCCAGGCAAGGAAGACGACGAACAGTGGCTTGCTTATTGGATTCTCTATTCATTCCTGACTTTAACAGAGATGGTGTTTGAATCGGTCCTAGAGTGGTAACAGCTTAACAAAATTTGTTAATATTAGATTTATATAATATATATTGGTTAATAGTATATAATTGGAAACTGTAGGATACCTATTTGGTACTCGGTGAAGCTATTGTTCATAGCATGGCTGGTTTTACCCCAGTTCAAGGGAGCCTCTTTCATATACGAAAGGTTTGTGAGGGAACAGATGATTAAACATGGGATTTTGAGGCGCCATAATCATAGTTCTCCTGATGGAAAGGGCAAATAGAGATTTGTGCAGTTCATCGTCCAAAAGAAAGTATGCTAAAAAAATCCGATATGTATATTCTGCAGATTCCATATTTGTATCCCACATTTATTTCGGAATTTGTATTGCAGGGGGAGCAAGAGGCTTCCTGAGGGACAAAGGGTAGAGCTGGTTGATCCTGTGTTGCTTCATTCTTAAAGCTTTGATAGTGGTTGTAAATGGTTACCCTTTGTACAAGTTTTTTCAGATCTTTGAGAACATGTTCTAATGATTAGCAGTGAGATTATTGTGAAAGAAGAAAAACGAAGCTTTGACTATGTTTGCAGTAATCCAGTGTTCAAGTCTCAAAAAGCAGTCTCATCTCTGTGTCAGAAAATATGAAGTTTAAATCCTTATTCCCTCTCTCCACCACCCATCGAGTTTCACTGACTGTATCCATGGCAGCGCAACTTCATAGCTTTGGCTCGCTCGAACAACATCCACAATGTTCGGTTATAGAAGTTGAGGTGGCTTTTCGTTTCTTGAAACTCCAAAGCGGCCTGAGTCATACTTGTCATCACCATCACAACTTGAAGACTGCATGCTACTACTGTTACCAGAATCCATGGTGAAAAACTTTTATTATAATTTCTTAAAGTGGAAGATTGCATGGTACTACTGTTACCATTGTGGTGGATGTTGTTTGAGAGAACCAAGACTATGAAGTAAAAAACAAAGAAAATCAAAGAAATTACATAAAGTAAAAAGGTGGCATGTTAAAGACTCGTTTTAGGTATTTCAAAGTTATGGTGAAGCCTATCTCAAGAAGAAAGGAATCTCATATACGTATGTCTAACCAATCCTTCATTTTATGTATTTCGAATGAAGGTCAAATCTTATGGATGACGGAAGAAGAAGATTTCTCTTATTTTTCTGTCCTTATATTTTCTTTTTATTCATACTAACTAACAGGGGATCAAATCTCATGTTGTTGGCGAAAAAACTTAGTCTCTCCAATCTCTCTTCTTTTTTTCCTTGGTCGCATTAGCAAAACATTCTTATTTGACTCTAAACCCTAGAACGATGGGAGCTATCGACTAACTTCACTCCATCTTACCACCTATTCTATTGATTAAGTGGTTATAATGACCCAATCCTAGAATGATTTAGATGCATAAAATGGAATCGAAGAAGAAATTCCATCAGCTGACAACCCATTCTTTCTATCTCGATCTCCAATACCGAAACCAACCAAACGAGAGAGACCGATAAAGTAGCAGCGTTTCAATAGAGGTGGTGGGGTGGGGTAGCCATTGGGAAAGATAGTACGGGTATCCAAGACATGAAAATATTCAATTTAGAACAGTAGGGGTGGGGTACCCAATCGCTTTGGCTTTCGCCGTTGGTTCGGTGATTCCGCTATTGGCTGCTGCTTTTATAAGGTAGGATAAGGTGAGGATTGCGGTGGTGGTTTTGGTGGCTACCGTTGCTTTGGCGGTGTTTGGAGTGGTGGACGTTTTGGTTGGAAGAACTCCGGTGTTGAAATCTAGCGCCAAGCATTGTTTATTTCGCCAGTTTAGGAACCAAGAGCCATTACCCCAAGTTTCTTGTTTTTCCTGGGAAGTGCAAGTGGTTTCCCTGCACCTTACAAAAAGAAGAATTCGATGGCTGCAAGGAAGGTGAAAATAATAAAGTATCCTATGTTGAAAAGTCAAATAAATATAAATAAGAAAAGTTTGAGTTAATTTTTCCATGTCATGACGTGTTAAACATTTAAAGTTAGAATGATTAAAAATGTATAAAATTTAATGATTAAATTAAAAAAATTATAAAAAATTAAAAGTTTATTGAGTAAAATAAGAGAGAAAGTAAAATTTTGTTATTTAATTTATAATTTACCCTAAAAATAATATTAGAGTATGAACTAAAGAATCTCAATAATTAAAATAATAAAATTATTCTTTAATATTATTATTTAAGATTTCAAGTTCAAAGACGATTCAATGTATGAATATTTATTGCTAAAAGCTCTAAAGATGTCTAAATTCACCTTCGCATACATCCATTTAAAATTAATTCCCCAAATCTAAACCCAACACTCAAACTGATCCAATCTCAAAGACCCAAACTCAGAAATCTTAATCTTGTCCGGTCGCTACCTTACCCGACCTAAAAATTAATTTGATTAACTATATGTTTAGTATTCTAATCATCGCTTTTATTCTTTTTGATTATTTAACTATTTTCTTAAAAGTTAGATTTAATATTATGTTTTGATTTTATTTTTTCAACCTATTATTAAAAAATTAATAGTGATATTATTATATCATCATAAGATAATATCACGTTATCATTAAAAATAAATTAAAAAAATATCACGTAAGAAGGGGCATAAGCCTATTAAAGGCTGTGAATATCCTCGAAGCTAGTATAGTAAGTGTAAAAAATTGCCCCGTCAAAAAGAAGGTTGAAAGATCTGTTGATGACAATATGACCGAAATTATATACACAAACAATCATGATTAGCCTCAGCCAAATAAACAAGCAAAGGATGGTAGTGATGTGACGCTATACATAACGATTATCCTGTATGTTAATTCTAATAGACGATTTATAAGAAAAAATTCACCCAAAAATCAGAGAAAAAAGTCTCTAGAGTTTAATAAAATATTATAAAATCAAAACTATCCAAAATCAGTCTACAAGCCGAACTGTTATAGCAAAAAATCTTGTTTATCGGAATTTTATCAAAAATAGCAAAATCCCGAAAATAAGCAATCTGCAAAAAATCCGGCCGAAATCGAATTTAAAATGACTTTCTAATTGACAATCAAAATATTACCATAAATAGTAAAAAAATATCTAAATATAGTGATTCGGAGGGGAAAACGGCATAATTTGAAGTCGAAAAAAAGGCCACAGCGTGCGCGTCGAAAAGAGCTTTTCGGATTGGGGTCTTATACGCGATTCTGACACTCGTAACCAAAGTTATGGCCAAAAGACCCTAATGATGAACATATCACAATCAATTCCAGCCTTTGCGCTGATCTGTCAACTCATGGTATCTTAACGCCATCAATGTACAATCTGACAGTTCAACATCATCTGTCTCGGATCTCCTGCATCATGATGGAAATACAAATTCGCTGCCTATTTGGTTATGAGGGTGCAGCTTAAAATTTGAACGAGTGAAACTATGCCGTCTCATTCTATTCCGGGGGAAAATGGTGAAATTGAGGCTAAATGATAATTGAAGAGAACGAGTCGGTTGCCCAGAAATTAAACAATCTTTAATCTCTACAAAAGAGCAAAAAATCTGCACTCTCGTACACATTAGGAGCGTGTCAGCGACCTTTAATCCCCCACTTTAATTTTGATTAACATTAATTAAAACCAACTATTAAGAAATGCAATGCATCCATCATCATATATAATCTATCTATTATCTGGATGGTGCTTAATTTATTTCCACACGTCCAAGGCAGTATCCGATACTGCTCCGTCTCTTGCCGCCTGGTACGCTGTCCCCACATCGTGACCGTGTATAAAATTCTGTCCCCCTTTTGCCTTAGATTTCAACCAACAACAAACACAACAGTTCTCCAATTGTTTCCATCTTATTATAACTTCAAAGCATGAGTCGTTTCTGGACTTTGCTCACAAGCCTTCATTCATTAGATGGGTATATTTATTTTCACTCTTTTCGTCCTAATTAAACACCCATTTCTTGTTTTTTTTTTTATTTATGAATTGAAACTGTCATTGATGTTTGCAGGCCCGTGGTGATGTTGCTGTATCCATTGTAAGGGAAAAAGTTGGACTTTTTTTGGTGGGTTTTTATCATTTTACAAGTTTCTTTAGTTGATTTCTTCATTTTGTTGTTGTTGTTGTTGTTTGTGTATTAGATATGCATCAATTATGGCAATAGAACAGGGAAGACGATGAACAGTGGCTTGCTTATTGGATTTTATATTCATTGATGGTGTTTGAATCAGTCTTAGAGTGGTAACAGCCTAACAAAATTGATTAATATTATATTTCTATAATATTAATCGGTTAATATTATATAATTGGAAAATGTAGGATACCTATTTGGTACTGGGTGAAGCTATTGTTCATGGCATGGCTCGTTTCCACGGTTCAGGGGAGCCGCTTACAGATACGAAAGGTTTGCGAGGGAGCAGATGTTTAAATATGGGATTTTGAGAGGCCATATTCATGATGGAAAGGGCAAATAAAAATTTATGCAGTTCATCGTCCCAAAGAAAGTTTGTTAATAAAAATTTATCCGTTTAACCATTTCAATTCTCTAATTAAACAAAAATATTAAATTTATAATTGACATAAATATTTTATAAGTAATTGACTTATTTTAATGTAGCTAATTGATTTAAGCATTTTATATTTAATTGACTATAGCTATTGACTTGAATATTTTATAGTTAATTGATTTATTTTAATATAACTACAGCGGATGGGTCTCGTGCTCCTGAACCTGACGGGTTCAATTTGGATTTTTATAAAAATTTTTGGAGCAAGATCAAGGACGAAGTCATGGAGTTCTTGGATAATTTCTATCATCAAAAAACAATGGACTCATCTTTTAACCACTTATTCATCACCCTCATCCCCAAAGTTGCTGCTCCTTTGGACATTGAAGAATTCAGGCCAATAAGTCTACTGGGGAGCCTCTATAAAATCCTAGCCAGAGTTTTATCTAGAAGAATGGCAAATTGTATTAACCAAATGGTAGGGGAAACTCAGTTAGCATTCACATCGTGTAGACAAATCTCTGATTGTGAGCTAATTTCTAATGAGGTGATCGATTCCTTGAAAAGGAACAAAAGCGAAGCAATTATGTTTAAGGCTTAAAGTGGCGAAGCTGGATTCAATTATGTTTATCGTCTACGTCGATTTCTGTTCTTGTCAACGGGACCCCATCCGGATTTTTAAGCTTCGAAGGGGCCTTAGACAAGGCTACCCTATGTCCCCCTTCTTGTTCAATATAGTTAGAGAAGCTCTATCCCTACTCATTCGGAAAGAAGCTGGCTTTGGATTTATAAAAGGTGTGAAGGTGGGATCGGTAGGATTTGAGATCACGTATTTGCAGTTTGCCGATGATCTCGTTTATCGGGAAGCCATGTGGTTAACACATAATATACTGCGTATATTTGAGGTGGCTTCGGGACTGAAACTTAAAAAAAACCAAGTTGTATTGGCATTAACACGTGCAGCAATTTCCTTTCTACCTGGGCAGAGGCAATCAATTGTGGCATCGAATCTTTTCCCACTACCTACCTTGGCATGCCCTTGGGTTTTCGCTACAATTCTAAGAACCTTTGGAAACCGATCATCAACAAAGTACAATCCAGATTGGAGGGTTGGAAGGGGAAAATGTTGTCGTTTGGAGGTCGTCTGACTCTAGTGAAATCGAAACTTTCCAATTTGCCGGTGTACTTTATCTCCCTTTTCAAGTTACCAGACTCCATTGCAGGGAAATTGAACAAATTATTAGATAATTTCATCTGGAGTTTGGTAGACAGCATGGATTAGCTGGAAGAAAATCACAAAGCCTAAAGATTATGACGGTCTCGGCATCTTTGATGTCAATCTTAGAAACCGCTCTCTCCTCAATAAGTGGCTATGGAGATATGGAAGCGAACCATCAAGTCTGAGGAGAAAAGTCATGGATGCGAAGCTTGGGTGTGATCCGAAAAGTCTGGTTCCAAATCCTGCAATTTCTAATCGTCTTGGATATGGAGATGTATCACAACGTTTAAGCGACCCTGAAGATGGTTACACGAAAAACATTCAGCGCATCCTTGGAAGCGGAGAAAACACCGACTTCTGGTCCGACCATTGGGCAGGTTTGACTCCTCTCAAAATCGTATTCCCCCGCATGTTCGCTCTGGCGGTAAAAAAGTACTGTAAAGTATGTGATTTTGGTACCTATGTCAATGGAGATTGGAATTGGCATAATCAGCTTCGGAGGAGGCTTTTCGACTGGGAAATTGATTGCTGGAATGAGTTCACGAATACCATTGCATCAGCGACACGCAACGCTGCGCTAAAAGACCGCCTTATATGGCATGATAAATTGTAAGAATGTTTCTATTGTGATATGATAAATATGATTGATTCATAATTTCGATACGTTGAATTGTCTACTAAATCATTATATAATGGATTTTGATTCAAATAAAGTCACTTTTAAAAGAATCTTATCTTAATTTAAAATTTCATTGTATTGCAATAATATTACATACTATAATCTAGAAGATAATATAGAATGCCTGTTTTATTTATTATTTCTTAGAGTGATTGTAGAAACTAGTTCATGTTGATGTTTTAGCTTGTAATTGTAATATTATTATAAACAAAGAAAATACTGAAACAATGCAAATCTACTTTTATCTTCTACCACAACATTGAAACAATGAAGCTTTATCATGCAAATTTTACAAATGCTGATACTTAATTGCCCTTAATTCCTACTAACAACAATAAAGTAAAGAAATATAACTGCATTTATAGAGGTTTTAACTATAATAAACAAAAGTATCAACTGAAAATCCTAAACTCTGACGTTAATGGCATCCGTTGCATCACTACATTGACCTAAAACACGTTAACTCATGTTGCCGGTTTGTGATTGTACAGAACTGGGTTCCAACAATTTAGACGTACCGGTATTATACGTCGTTCGTAAAATATTAATCCGCTCTCCGAGGATGTGCTCTTTGAGTTCCTCGATTGCAGCATATTCCTTCTCCATTAGCAGCTCCGCATCATCGCAATGCTTGACTTTAGATTGCAACTTCTTTAACAATATTCAAGTAAATGCCAAATATTAGGCATGTGTTACGGACAAATTGAATGGCTTTACAATAAAACATTAACTGAACAATAGAAGTGGAATGGATAACTTCAACCCACTTGTGCTTCAATTATGATTGCGACTAAATGTTCAATCTCCCTCTCTTCCTGCAAAGCTAATAATTTGGCATGAGCAGCAGCTGCTCCGAGACCTGTTGCAACTGCCGCTCTAATTCGCAATGGTAAAGGTACATCACTATTCTTCAGAGGTATCTCTTGTGATTCTGCAAGAGTGTATTTTCGCAGAAATTCTAATGATGACTTGGAATGAAGAACTCCAATATAAGTATGCAAAAGATCAAAAGTAAAGAACAGATCGGAACCATGAAAATATTAAAGATGCGATGTCTATGTCCTCAGTGCTAAGAGACAACCCAAATGAAAACCCAAGATATAATCAAGGAAAAAGCTAGCAAGAAGCATTATGAATTATATCTACTTTTTATCCCATAATACGGTTCTTCAGCCGAACTGTCAAATGATGTTGTAGTACTGTATCCAAACATATATATACCTGATGGACTAGACCTCTCTTGTATCTCTGACTCTCTGATATCATGAGCTCTAAAACATATAAGAGAATGAACACGTCAAAACACCACAATGATGCAAAAGCTGACAGCAAATTTAGGTGCAAAGGGAACGAAAATAAGAATAACAATATTACTTTCACACAACCTTAAAGTAGGAGATAGGGGCCCATTAGTTAAATCAATCTGATCACCATAAAATATTTCCCTCGGACATAACATTTCATCGGAAAGCATTGCAACTGCAGCTTCAGCTGCTGCAGCAGTGATTTGAGGCTCAACCATGGTAGAGATGCGAGCAACCTGCAGGAAACATAATCAATTATGTATAATCAAAACCTTTAAAGAATGTTTGTATTTATACATGCAACAAATAAAATATACGAGAAAAGCATAAAGTCGGATAAAATGAAGACATGGTGTATTAGTAAAATAGCCTGGTAAAATTTTTTAAGGATAAGATGTGGAGTAAAGAGTCTTACCTGCTTCAATGAGAGAACTATCAGCATCTGAAATGGAAGCAGTGCATTTTTTCTTCGATGGAGGTTCTTGATTCTCAGGATCCCCATTCTTTTCATTCTCATTTGTGTAATCATACCCTTGATCCTCGTTTATAATTTTCTCTTGGTGCTCAGATGAAGTAACACAAACTGGTTTTATGCCAATCATGTTCGTACTTGTACTGCTGGAGTAGCCCCTTCCTTTGGCAGAATCAATCAAAGACTCACCAAAAGGCAGCTCAATGAGCTTTGTAATACAATCAAGTTTAGACTTGGTTTGAACATTCTGAGCAACAAGATCCCAATCATCCCAGTGTTTCATAACAGAATCCAAAAGAAGAAGAGTTTCCTCTTCAGTCCAGACAGCTCCATTGGTCGCACTCTTCTCACTGCAATCTTTCAAGTCGAAATCATCCTTAGATATACCCTCCCCATAATTTCCACTTTTGAAGCATTTAATGCAAACTATGAAATTATCCTGCAGATGCAATACATATGTCACTCACTCCGCACAAAAAATCAAGCTGACTACAAGGCTTCTGCTTTGTGCAGGTAATTACAACATCAAACATAGAGATAACACACACACACACACACACACACACATTGCCACCCAGCTAAACTAGATAGGGTGTTGCAAATCAAACATGAATTCGGTAAGAAATGTAACTAATAAAGCTTATAAAAGAGATCAAGTTTAGAACAAGAAACATATGGTTACACCTACAAAACCATTTACTAGGAGAACTCGAACCCTCATATCAAATGCTAAGCAGAAATTCTAAATAAGCAAACCATTGTTCTTTGGGATAATTCAGAGGAAAAAAAAAACAATCCCAAAAAAAAATTAAAGGCAAAACTATCTTTCAATTTTTTATTAGAAAACAAAAAAGGAATTACCTTTTTATATTCATAGTACTCAGAATCACAATTATCTCCACAATTACCACAATGTAACTTCTTCAAATCACCAAAAACATCAGAATACGAGGCCAGGGGAGGCAGCTTGGCTTCACTCTCTTCAACCCCATCACCACTGTTCTTCCCTTTAACAACCGGCGCCGAAAGTGGCCGCAAAGAATTGGGAGTGGCGACGACCCGGACTCCTTTTGGAACCCCGTTTTCGACCCGAACCCTATCATCGCTTTCCGAACCTTCGTGGGGTTTAAGAGGGGCGACGAAGTTTATCAAACCCCAGGTTTCCAAGAAGCGGAAGACCTTGTGGAGTAAAGTGACGTCGCCGATAAGGGATTTGCGGATTTCGGTGAAGGTAAGGCGGCGAGAAGGGTCTTCCCGGTATTTTTTGATAATGAAATCCCTGTACTCTTTGTAGATTTTGGGGGTTCTCGAGATCGAGCTTCCTTCGAAGAATTCTTTCAATGCTTGCCTCTCTGTTTTGTGAATATCGTTCCAAGCAAACCAACCTATACGAAGAAGAAAGAGAAGAAAGAAAATGAGATTGTTTTGTTAGGGTTTTGGGGAAGGGGAATTAATGAATTAAGTAATTAACAAGGGACTTACTGGAGTAGCTTGGTATGGTGTAGAGGTCGAGCTCTGGTTCTTCGGGTCTAGTTGAATCCGGGTTCGGGTCATGTCGAGGCTTGTTCTCCATTCCCGGATCCTTGGTGAGTTTTGGAATTCGGATTTTGCTCTGTTATTGACTTTAGTGTGGAGTGAGAATGGGCTTTTCTATTGCAACAGGAGGATGTTTCATTTAAGTCACCGACCAATCATAACCTCCCTTGTGCTGTGCTGTGCGCCTATGTACGTTCTGGATATTTGTGTGAAAAACAAAGAAATTCGAGTGAGTGTTCAATTGAGTTTAGTAAAAAAAGATTTTGAATTAGTTGAGTTGATGAATCTTATTTTATAATTTAAATTTTGTTTGTAATTTTTTTGAGTCGAATTTTTTGGAGTTTTAATAAAATTTAATTTTAAATATTTATAATATTACGATACTAAAAAATTAGATGACCCTATTCTCATATGTAATGGGGTGAGGGGGAGGTAGTAGGCTGCCCCAACGCCAGGTTGAGAGCAGCTTCCGTGGAAAACCTTAAGCAGTTAGAATTATGAATTGTCCACCGTGGGACTCGATCCCATGACCACAAGATTAAGAACCTTGCGCTCTACCAACTGAGTTGGACGGACAATTCTAATATTACGATACTAGTTGCTTCTAATTTAAACAGTTTTATATAATGATATAAAATACATATATGTTTTCACAATTTTTACATATGTGATATACATATATCATATAGAATTGAGAGATTCGATTTAAACTTGAAAATCAATCTTCTAATTATTAAATTTTTCGAGTTATTCGAATTTTATTTTTGTCACGACCGTCTTTCGGGTGGACCCGGAATTGAGCTTCGACTTGAAATGAGTGGATTAGAGTCGCCACCTATCACTTTAAAAAAACATTTAGGTGGATCGGACACAATCTTACCTGGCCTGCGTTTTACCAGAAATATATCGGGTTCGGGAGTCAGTTACGGTCAAGGAAGGATTAGCACCCTTGAACCGCTCTTTAGATACCAATTAATTTGTCGGTTGTCTTAATTGCGAAAATTTAAAATTAAAATTAAAATTAAAAAAATCAATTCGAATTAATTATCTTTTATTGATTGAAAATATCCATAAAAAGTAAAAAAATGTTAGATAAGAAATAAATGTTAAATAAATGAAAAAGAAAAAGAATAATAGTAAAATAGAAGTAAAAAAGTAAAAAAAAATAAACAAAATACTAAATAAATCATAAGGTAAAAAATGTTAAATTCTAAAAGTACTAAAGTAGGAAAAAAATAAAATAGGAAATAAGTTAAAGGATCAAATAATAGTTATAACGAAACAAGGTCATGACTATAATCAAACATTTGCAAATATTAAAATTCGAATAGAAAATAAATAAAATGATGTAATACATAACATAAGGGATTAAAACACAAACCGAAAAACATATATGTCCAAAATAAAATAGCACGAAATTTCCTTAATGGGTCACGTACAAAGTTACAAAGGAGTAGGGGCTCTAAATGATATTATCCCCTAATCGAAATTACCAAACCACTCCCATTGAAACTACGTCGTTTCTTGGGGACTATATAAAGCCCAAAACCAAGGCAAAATTCATACAAAACCTCATTTGCCTCATTACCTCAATACTAGAAGAGAAAGAGAGAGATGAACTCTCTCAAAGGCTTCAACCAAGCCCAGAATCCGGTGAAACTCCACCGCTTCGGCCGCCGTTGACCGGCGGTGACTGCCGTCCGCCGACGCCGGAGAAGAGAAAAGGTGTCACCTTTCGACGCGTTTTTCACCCCTGGATACAAATCCGGACTTCGTTTTACCTGGAAACGCCTCAAAGTCCGTAGATCTACAAAGTAACCTTTCGTATTTCTTTGTTTTTTTCGCTTCTGTTCGAAGGCTTCAGGTTTCCCGAATGCTTCCTTGTTATTGGTTTTGTGTTTTTCTGTTGGTATTTGTGATATATTATGTTTGCTTGGTTGTTGGCTCCGATCTTGGTTTCGACGTTGTGGGTTGCTTTGGTTCTCGTTGTACTCAATGTTTTCTGTGTTCCCGACTGTCGTTGTTTTGTGATGGCTCAATTTGTTGGTCGATTGTTGTTCGATGTAGATACCTGGTGTGGTATTTATATAGCCCCGGTGAGAGTTGTTTTTGGCTATTTTAGGGTCGATCTCGGATATTTCGGGGGTGTTCTATAGTGGACTGTTACAGACTATTATGATCCCTCGTTCTACGCTGGTCATTTCGCCAGTCGCTCCCTGTTTAACCGACCATTTGTGCGTGAATTCCACGTTTTTTCCATGCGGCGTCACTGCCTAATGTGAAAACCCTAATGGAATTTGGGTTGGGTTAGGCCCACCTAACCGAGTATGCTAGGTCAGGCTTTCCCTGTTGGGTTTCTTTTATTTGGACCTATAAAAAACAAAAAACAAAATAAAATTAATAAAATAAAAATAAATAATGATAATAATAATATTATATATATATATATATATATATAAATATTTTCAAAAACTATATAATATATATTTTCAAAAATCATTTTGTGAAAATTATATATTATATTTTTTCAAAAACATTTTCAAATATTATACTATATTTAAACAAAACAAATTCGGATGAAAATGAGTGTCTACAACTGCCTCTCTTTGTCCTTTTTGGTGGAACGAAAAATAGAACAAAGACAAAAGGACACAAAATTTCGTTCGGTGGAGTTGAAAATTGACTCTGATATTTCAATTAAGAATAACTCCCTGTCGGATTGAGTTGCGGATGACTCCTCTGTCGTGAAGCCGAGTCCATCTTAAAATGATATGGAATTGAAGTCGTAGTTCGTGATTTGAATCAGGATGTGGTTTCTCGTTGCCAAATTATAGTCAACTTCGGTCTTCTTCTCAGTTTAAAGACCTTGGTTTAAACATTCGACTGGTAAATAGTTCTTGACTCCATCATGTGGTTGATAGTCCTTTGAGCTGAACGAAATCGAGCTAAAAAAGTCTCCGTTGACAGATAGTTTTTCTCGACTTAAGCTATGCTGTGAATTTGACATGCCCTTGAGCTGAATGTAATCGAACTCGAAGGTATTTGTTGACAGATAGCCCTTCTCACCTTGAGCTATGCTGTAAATTTGATATGCCTGTGAGGTGAGTGTAATCGAACTCGAAGGTCTGTTGTTGGCAGATATCCCTTCTCGCCTCGAGCTATGCTGCAAATGATGTGCATTTGAGCTGAGCGAAATCGCATATAAGCCCTTCTCGTCTTGAGCTATGCTGCAAATAATGTGCCTTTGAGCTGAGTGTAATCGAACTCGAAGGTTTTTTGTTGGCATATAGCTCTTCTCTTCTTGAGCTATGCTTCAAATGATGTGCCTTTGAGCTGAGTGTAATCAAACTCGAAGGTCTTTTGTTGGCAGATAGCTCTTCTAGCCTTGAGCTATGTTGTAAATGATGTGCCTTTGAGCTGAGTGTAATCAAACTTTAAGGTCTTTTGTTGGCAGATTGCCCTTCTCGCCTTAAGCTATACTGCAAATGATACGCCTTTGAGTTGAGTGTAATCGAACTCAAAGGTCTTTTGTTGGCAGATAACCCTTCTCGCCTTGAGCCATGCTGCAAATGATGCGCATTTGAGCTTAGTGTAATCGAACTCGAAGGTCTTGGTTGACAGATAACCTTGTCGCATTGAGTTATACTGTAAATGATGTGCCTTTGAGCTGAGTGTAATCAAACTCGAAGGTTTTGTGTTGGCAGATAGCCCTTCTCGCCTTGAGCTTTGTTGCAAATAATGCGCCTTTGAGCTGAGTGTAATTGAACTTGAAGGTCTTTTGTTGGAAGATATCCCTTCTCACCTTGAGCTATGCTGCAAATAATGCGCCTTTGAGCTGAGTGTAATCGAACTCAAAAGTCTTGGTTGACATATAACCCTTATCGCCTTGAGTTATGCTGTAAATAATGTGCCTTTGAACTGAGTGTAATCGAACTCGAAGGTCTTTTATTGGCAGATAGCCCTTCTCGCCTTGAGCTATGCTGTAAATGATGCGCCTTTGAGCTTAGTGTAATTGAACTCGAAGGTCTTGGTTGATAGATAACCCTTCTCGCCCTGAGTTATGCTGTAAATGATGTGCCTTTGAGTTGAGTGTAATCGAACTCGAAGGTCATTTTTTGGTAGAAAACCCTTCTCGCCTTGAGTTATGCTACAAAGATGCACCTTTGAGCTGAGTGTAATCAAACTCGAAGGTCTTGGTTGACAGATAACCCTTCTCGCCCTGAGTTATGTTATAAATGATGTGCCTTTAAGCTGACTGTAATCGAACTCGAAGGTCTTTTGTTTGCAGATAGCCATTCTCACCTTGAGCTATGCTGCAAATGATGCACCTTTGAGCTGAGTGTAATCGAACTCGAAGGTCTTTTGTTGACAGATGCTTTTGAATTGAGTATATTTTGTCTTGGTGTTGAAACTTGACTCTAAAAGGTGCAAAAAATTATGTATGCTAAAAAGAATGATAAATGTGATGCTCTTAAGTATGCCTAAGATGCATGCACCATGAATTAGTTTTGTTTTATCTTCTGGATGGAGCCTCATTTTGTATGTCAATCTCGTACTCGGAATCGACCATGCCCCATTTTCTTCTCGGGTTGCAGCCTTTCACATTTTGAGACTGTCATGTTCGAAAATGTTTTTCTCATTTCTCTTATTTTAGGGGGAAAAAGGATATAAGAATTCTGTAAAACATTGCTCCTTAATTCAGGCTTGCAATTGAATCAAATCATAAGCATGCTTTCAAAGAATATCAAAAGAATCAATAGCTCTTTAATGCTTTCAGAGTTATAGCTCCATGACAAATATTCAAATAAATGAATTGACTTTAGGTTGGCCTCCTATTTTCTAAGGTTTCAGCCATAAAAAAATGCATTGCAACGTGCCTTTTTCTTGGCTTGAAATTTTTATTGGATGCGTACAAAATGATGCAACTAGCATGATCAATTACTAGACCTTCTATTTCAGTCCTCTGAAATCTTCCATTTGTTCAAGCTTTTTAGGCTTCTCTAACAAAGACGGTGCAGAAATATCAGTGTAAAAATGAAATTCCGGAGTGCTCGTGTGAAGTTGACTATAATAGGTGTTCCTTAACTCCCTTAGTCCATCTTTACCGAAACTCCTTATTTAATTTGTCATTGTATAGCTAGCTGGATCCATAAAGCCGGGGCATTTAACCAATTGCTCTATAGAGACAGCTCAATATCATTGTATAGATATTATAATCACCTTTATCAGGCTAGCTGAATATTATCCATAAAGTCAGGGAATTTAACCAATTGCTCTAGAGGGACAACTCAAGTTTTATTGTATATTATAATCACCTTTATCATGTTAACTGAATCTTATCCATAAAGCAGGGGCGTTTAACCAATTGCTTTAGTGGGACAACTAAACCTTTATTGTATATATGCATAATATTATAATATGGATATACAAATCCAATTTCTTAAGTTTGACAAGAAGAACCTATTATAGTCTAAGTGTTGTTAAAAGTCAAGGAATCTCATCTTTTGAGTTTAATTTCCCAACAACTGACCTAAACTAGATTCACATACTCGACTATTCCATCTGTGAAGATCATTATCATCACTGAACGTCCTCAAAAAAAGTATAGTAATGTCATATACAAAAGATTCCCCATGTTGTGTGCTCCTATGCATACCAAATATCAAGCCTCTTGTTTATCGATTTTTGCAAGAAAAGGGCATATTGTTCGAGCGTATCTTCTGGGTAAGGTCAAAGTCCTTTGTTTTATCAGCTTTTAATCATGTTACTTTGTCAAAGATCTGTAACTCTGAATCATTTACGGAGTTTTTTAATTCAGCTGATATTCAAAGAATTTCAAGTTGTAAATTTGATTTAATGCTCAGCATAAATTCATTAAAATATTCTCATAAAAAGAGATATGTCAAATTTCAAAAGCAAGTTACAAGAAGAAATATGAGAAAGTTTAAAAAACAAGTCCAAACAAGATGCTGCAAAATAGAATAAATCCTCATTATGATGCCCTACTATTTCTAGAATGTCGAGGATTAGGGCCTTCATCTGTATTTACTCCCCATCTTTCAACTGTTTCACTTGTCGGGCTCTTTTTGATGTACCCTCAGACGCACAAATTTCTGCTTTGGGAGTGTCCTTGCTTTCATCGTAAAATTCTAGCTCTTTTCTGTCCATCATTAGCTGGACAAAGGCTCTAAATTTGACACATTCTTATACATCATGTCCATCTTCATTGTGATAACAATAATGACTGCCACCTTTGGAATCTGATGTGCTATGATGTGGTGCAAGAAATCCCGCATTTATCATTTGCCTCCATACCCAAGCAAGAAGTGAATTCACTTCGGAGACTATGGTTTTGGCCTTTTTACCCATCTTCTTGGTGATTGCATTTTCCTCATTCTCTTGATGATTAGATAGAGGGTTCTGTATGATGTTGGGTGATTCTGAATTGTTGAAATAAATCCAACTCCTGTTGCGCATTCTTTGGATAATCCTCTTAAAGGTGATACAATTTTCAATAGCATGTCCTGAAACACCTCCATGATATTCACAGTGAGCATTTTTTTCATACCACCTGGGGTATGGGGGCTTTAGAGGCATCTTCGGATATGGTGACACCACATGTGTGTCAAAAAACTGTTGGTAAAGCTCCTTATACGTCATGGGAATGAGATCGAAATGTTGGTTTTTCCTTTTCTCTCCTTGGTTCTCTCGAATCTTGCCTAGAAGATGGTACAGCTGCAATTGGTTTTGAAATGCTGATGATCTCTCCTTTTTTATTCTTCAGGGGAGGTTTTCTACTCGACCTACCTCCTTGTTTAATGGTTGTTTCTACCATCTTTGTTTTGACTTGTTCACCAAATTTTGGAATGCAGTGATAATCTGAACCATTTTGAAGACTGCTTACAAAGGCTTGTGCTTTCGTGGTAGATGAATCCCCCTGACGTCCTAGTAAGATTCCAAGTGAACTTACAGACTGTGGAGTAAGTGGTATAGCTATCCCCTCAGATACACTTACCCCAGGGGCATTCATTCGATTCAGGCCGGACAACCTTGAAACAATATGGTTAACCAACAAGTTTTGGTTCCTAGTGATAGAATTCAAGGTATTTTGTTAACTTTGACTTATTTTTTCTTCAGTTCCTTCTGTAGTCTTAGCATGTTCTTTTCAAGTTGGGCAATCTTGGCTTCCATCTTCTTCCTTTTTTGAATGGGTGTTATGCGGATGACACGTGTTCGAATCTTTTAGAGGTAAACCCGGTGTTTGTTCCCTTTTGATGAGACATTCTTCTATTAGTTAATGCGATTGCAAAGAAATAATAAAATGCAAAATATGCCTAAATGCATGATGCATGAAATATTCGAGGCATTGATCCAAAAATGTGTCTGTTATTATAAATAATCCTTATTGGGGACAAAAGGGTTACGTCTCAGGAGACAAGAAATATTTTAAAGGCATAGACCCCAAACAGCTTCTGACAGGTTGATTCATCTTCCGTCTTTTTCCTATCACAAGTTGAATACCATGTCGAACCGTTCCGACTTCTCTGGCTAAACTGTATTAGTGACGAGCTGCTTGCTCCAAAAAGTCTTGAATGACTGCATCTCTGGCTTTCACTCTCTGCTGAGTCTATTCCTAACGAAAACACTATTGAATCCCTCCATCGATAGGAACTATCCGAAGTTCATCAGCTTGCTTCTTGAATTTGTCAACAATGGCCTCTGGTTTCAGCTATTGCTTTGCCATCTTGTTCTTGTTGTCTTTGAAGGGACTCTGCAGGTCAGTAACATTTTCTCGTTCTGCCCCTGGAACCTTTGCCAACCCATTTTGGAAAAGTTGACTTTTGACGTGCTTGGTGTAAACCCTGTTCATTCCGAGTCTTTTCTGATCATAACTGGACTTTTGAGCTTTTCATCTCTTATATTATAACCCATTGTCCATTAATGCAGATTATTTACGTTTAACGAACACGTTTTTGGTGTATCAACTCCTCTTTTGAATGATGCAAATGATGAAAATAAAATAAAAGAGAAAAAAATTAAAAGATGTTGAATTACGTTTCGATATAACAAATTTAAAGGCAAAATGTTTTTGGACTTGAATTGAATTTATTCAAAGTTTTAAAAAGGTTTCAAAAATAATTCAAAGTCCATTAAATTCGGATTTGAGAAAAAATGCTAAAGGGTGTCAAAGTGCATCCATGTACCCCTGCAGTGCATCCATGTACCCCTGCAGTGCATTCATGCACCCCTGCAGTTCATCCATGCACTTCTGCAGTGCATCCATCCACCAGTCACTAGTGCATCGATGCACCATATAGTGCATTCATGCACTCCATTTCGAATGCAATTAGTGCATCGATGCACCCTGCTGTGCATCCATGCACCAAGACTGCAACAACTAGTTTATTTGAATTTAATGAAGGGGTATCGATGCACCATGTTATGGGCAGCTTTTTTGAGTAGAAAAATCATCCCCAAACGGCTCCAAAACATCCCCAACGATTATATACGACATCAAACACATTTCAAGCTATAAATACAAGCTAATGACACTTGAAAAAGTAAAAGAGAACAACTATCCAAGCAATCAAACACAAGAGAAGAGTTTTTCATTCTTATTTCATCTTTCTCTTGTAAATATTTTGTTCTTGTGAGCTCAATCTTGTAAACACCTACCTTAGAGAGGTTTTCTTGTTTACATCTTTTTATCCATTTGTAAAAGGGTTTTGGTTCTAGCTAAGCCTTGTAAAGGCTAGAGGAAAGGTTCTAGTTTAGCCCATGAAAAACTAGGGAGTTGTAAGGTTACTCTTTATCCTCAAAAGAAAGAATAAATTAGTGAATTTGTTGGAAATCCTTGGTGAGGAGCTAAGGTAGTGGACGTAGACTTTGTTTGAGAAAGGCGAACCACTATAAATCACTGTGCAATTCTCTATCTTTCAATCTCCTTACTTCCTAAACATTAAAATTGTTCCAACCCCTCTTTGAAAACTCTTTCAGTTGTCTATTCGAGCTTCCGAAAATACTAACAATTAGTATCAGAGCCTAACTTGTTAGAAGGTTTAAACACCTCGAGATGATCTTAGAAGAAGCTCTACCAATTCCCAATACAACCGAGAAGATGACTTCCACCTCCGGCTCGTTCCACCTCCAGCTCGTTCCACATGGAGTGAACTATCGTCATTGGAAGAAATTAATGAAGTTATTTATCCAAGCCAATGATCTTGATGCATGAGAGATGATCGAGAGCGGATACTCTTCTCCAAAGAAGAAGGAGAAGAAGTGGAGTGACCAAGAACGGAAGAAAGCTCAACAAAATGCCAAGGCCATGTACATGTTGTTTTATGCGTTTGGTATAGATATCTATGGAGGAGTTTCTTCTTGTTCGAATGCCAAGGAGCTTTGGAATAAGCTCGGGGAAATCCATGGAAACAAGAAAGAAGAACCAACAAAGGTGGTGTCTTTAATGGCTCTTGAAGAGCCCGAAGTATCTTCTAACTCAAATGAATTTAATTCATTTACTTTTGATGAGTTACAAGATGCTCATAATAGGTTGTATTTGGGATTTGAGACCATGAATTCCAAATATACGAAATTAATTTCAAATCTCAAAATTAAAGATAGTTTGATTTTGAAAGCAAAAGTTGATTTTAAAAATCAAAATGAAATTTTGAAAAATAATTTAGAGCTTTCAAAAATCAAAATAAATGATTTAGAAAAAGAAAATTTTGAGTTAGAAGTTAAGCTTGAAAGCTTAATAAAAGAAAAAGAATTAATTTCTAAAAACAACCTATTATGTTTAAATATGGAAAAATGCTCACATTGCCATTATCATGGTCATATGGAACATACTTGTCCTTTGAAGAAAGGAAAACGTTTTAAAATTAGACAAGTATGGGTTCCGAAAAGAACAAGGGGCATTGAAACTAACGTTCAAGGATCCAAAGCAATTTGGATACCAAAATCTACTTAAATGTCTCTTGTAGGTGTGTGGGAGCAATGGTGAAGAAAATGATGATATTCAAGATGCTCTAGCCACACATGAAAAAGAATGGGTAACCTCTAAGCTTAATGTTTTTAATTTTAGTTATTTGGTTGCTCATAGGATTTATGCATGCATGAGTTTTGATTTTAAATGATTATGCATTTTTTTTAATCTCATGTATGTTAAAAAAATGGTTATGATTAACATTTTAAATTTTTAATGATTTTTTTAGTTCATCATAATAAAATTTTGGTCAAAATTGGTTTTAATGCAAATGATATCTCTCTAACAATTGATATCAATTTTTCAAAAACTTTGATTTTACAAATTTAAAATTGTTGACCTAAATTTAAATGTTTATGCATGTGATTTAAATGAAAAATAATATCTCTCTAACAATTGATATCAAAATTTTCAAATGCATAAAATTTTTGGAAAACTTTATGCATATGCACTTAATTTCAATAATTAATATTGCATAAAGTATTTTAGACTTGGATATATTGAATTTCATGTACTACTAACATGTTTGTTATTCTTTGTTGAAATTCAATTTTGTTTAAGTGTCAAGTTCTTAAAGCTAAATTTTGTTTGGAATGCATTTATTGAGGGGGAGCTTTGATTTTTCAAATAAGTTTTAAAATGTCAAATTTACTACTTACTCTCCAAAGTTATTTTGAACTTCAAAGATTGAATTATTTTTTATATAACAAAAAGGTGGAGAAGTTTGGTTTGAAAAATTCAATTTCTTAATGAAAAAGGGAGAGCTTAACATTTTCATATATTTTCAAACAATTGGTAACAATTGATATCATTTTGTTAACAATTGATATATTTTTCATTAAACATTTTATTAAGGGGGAGTTTTGCCAAAAACAATTTTTCAAATGTTTTGTTATATCAAAAAGGGAGAGATTGTTGAATTATGTTTCGATATAACAAATTTAAAGGCAAAATGTTTTTGGACTTGAATTGAATTTATACAAAGTTTTAAAAAGGTTTCAAAAATAATTCAAAGTCCATTAAATTCGGATTTGAGCAAAAATACTAAAGGGTGTCAAAGTGCATGTAACATCCTCAATACCGGGTTACTGATCAAATTGTAAAGTTTCAAAATTTGGTGACTAGAGTATAACCATGGATTAGTTCAATGATTTATTTGGTAAGAAATCATAAAAGTTGTTAGTAATTATAAGATGAATTAAAGGGCAAAAGGGTCATTTGACAAGAAAGATTTTTTATTTTCCTTATAAGATAAGGAAATCACATGGGAAGAGAGAAAAGGTTCCAGAGTTCTCTTCTCTTCTCTTATTCCTTCTTCATACGTGAAGGCTTGACTCAAAGGTGAGTTTCTTTGTTTTTTGATTAATTATTGATTTTAAGGTTGAGTTATGATCATTAGATGATAATTAAGCTTAAGGAAAGCTTAATTTGTTCTAAAACAAAAAAAAATGAAAGATTTAGAAGAGATTAAAGAAAATGAGTTTTTAGATGAATTTCTGGAAAAGAGTTAATAAGTGAAATTTGAGAAGGAATTTGACTTATCATCACTAAGAATAAGAGATCTATGAAGTTAGAAAGGATTAATAACAAATTTGAAAGTTTAGTAAGATTC